TTATTTTTGTGTGTGTGTGCGTGTGTGCATGTAATTATCTTAAGAAATAATTTATTGATTTTTATTTTGCTGAGTGTTTTTTAATCAGTCACGGGAATTGAATTTTCTTTTCAGCATTAAGGGAAATGACCATATAATTTTTCTATGTTGATCTAGTATTTAATATTAATAGATTTTCTAGTGTTAAATCATCTTTGCAATCATGGAATAAACTCTATCTGGTTATTGCATATTTTGCTTACTATATTATTGGAGTCTGTGTGACAATATTTTATTTAAAATTTATTTAAAATTCCTCAGTATTTTTGAGATTAGGATCTGGTGTTTTTTATCGTCTGAGATCTTAGTCATTTTATATAAATTTTAAATTTACTTCATAAACTAATTTGGCAATTTTCTTTTATGTTCTGTGTCTGTATATTTTAAGTGACACTGAAATCATCTGCTCTCTAAAAGTTTGTTATGGTCCCCCTATGAAACTGCTTAGGCCTGGCCTTCTTTTTGTTGGGGGATGGAGAGCTCTTGATGATTAGGAGGTTGTTTAACTGATTCTCTCACTTGTGCATCTACCCCAGTCCTAGCTGTCCTCGTGCCAAGGGCCCCAGAGAGCAGGAAGTAAGAAGTAAGGTTCCAGGCATAGAGGATGCCTTTCCCAGAAGGTGGCGCTAGGGGGTGGATGGATGGTGTCCCGGACTTCAGCCAGGTTTGTGGGTTCCAATGTCCTAGAAATGTGCAGACTACCCCAGAGAGTTTAAAACAGGAAAGGTTCATTAGAGAGCTTGTGCGCAAGAGAGTCAACAGGAAGGAAGGCTGGCTCTCATGCTAGGCTTTTAGGGATTTCAAAAATGGGGTGAGGGGCCAGGGGAGGGGAGGCTGATGAGTAGTTTCATGATGCTTATCTCTGGTGGCAGACGCATTATGTTGCCACCCATGGTCAGTCCTTTAGATGTTCTGTATGATAAATTTACACAGGGAGTTTATTAGTCCTGTTCTTTTTCAGGGTAATGTTTATGCTCAAACAATGAAAGCATACTATTTATATTTTGGCTAATGGAAGCATACTGTAATTTTTTGGCTGGGTTGTTGGCTAATCATTCCTCAAATGTTAGGAATCTTACCTCCTAACATCTTGTCTTTTAAATGGCATCTCAGCCTTAAGGTGGAATCCCTCCTGTTCTTCCTATTCTAGGTCAATAGTTCATATAGTCACACCTAGAGTGTGGGCGGGAAAAGGAGGGGAGCAGGGTGGACAGGTGGGTGGGAGGGGTGTGAAGAGAGGCTACAGGAGAGGCCGGAGCTGAGGAGAGAACAGCTGCTGCCTCCCAAAGACTCCTGACTGCGTTCCATCCTCTCCTTGGGAGTCTCTGTCCTATTTTCACAGCTGGGAAGGCAAAGGAAATTTCCTGTAGTCCACTGAACTTCTTGCAGCCTTTATAGGGAAGGCCTTCAGGGTCACCTGTCCTGAGGAGGAGCTGGGGCTAATAATTGTCAGCAATCCCACCCCCAAATTCTCACCATTTGCATTTGCTGTGAGCCAGTTGCAGTCAACAAGCCCAGTGGCTCCCAGACTTCCAAAGCCTGAGGTCCTAGACAATCCCTTAATGTTGAGTCTGATTTTCTGAGGCAGCTCTTTCTACAGGGCGATTCGGAACAACCTCCCTGTTGCTCAGACGGCTGTGCCGTGAGGTGGCTTTGCTATGGCAAATGGTGGATGGGGGAGATGGGACACGGAAGTTCTTCCACGTGTCCTGAGAGGCCACGCCCCATTCTCTTCCCTGCTTCCCGGCTCCCTGCTCCCTTGGCCTCTCCGTGGGCCTGTAGGAGGCAGGGGCCAGCAAGATGGCAGGGCCCCAGTAGAGCCTCCCACTGGGAGGCGCTGGCCGGAGAGGCGGAGAGTGGAGGAGCACCGCTGGGCTGAGGGGTCACGCCGCTCTCGCAGCTGTGGGATGTTGCACTTGCTTGTGTAAGGCAGAAGAATAGATATGAGCAGGTGGAGAGAGAAGAAGGCCAGTAAAGCCCACTAACAGGGTCTCAAAAGAGTTAACCAGTTAAAACTAGAGAGCCAGAAAAGACTCAGCGTTAAGGAGTTAATCAGCTGAAGCTCCAAAGTCCAGGAGGAACTTGGAAGTCCAAATATTCTCCAGATAAAGTATCTGAGTTCAGCCCATGTCTTCATTGTGTCAATTAGATCATGCCATGTTAAGATGTACTTTAGCCTTCTAAAAGGCCCAGCTTATTCTTTAACTTAAACTATATGCTGTTTTTTTCCCTCCTCCAGCTCCTAATCAAGTAATCTGCAACCTGGGCAGGAGATGAGCATCATGATTAATTTAGCAAACAAACCCAGACAGAAACAACATAGTAAAAACAGGATAGATTCCATCTTAAAGATTCCATCTAAGATTGCATTTTAAAACCCAGGAAGTTAAGAAGTAAGATTCTTTACATATTCTTTAGTAAACAAACAATAACTCAGCCCACCTTGGGGGCAGGGCAGGTGGTCTTGATCAGTATGTTCCCAGAGGGAAGCTGCTATCCTGGGAAGGAACTGGGTCAGTACATTTCTTGTGTTGTTAATTTTGTGGAATTACCTGGAGGACTGATAATAGAAGAAACGTAATGTCTCTCATCAAAGATAAACATCTTGATACTACTTAACAAGTCTACACCCCCTAGCCCTTTGCCACATTCCTGAAAAAATCCTTAAAAGGGGGACCCCCAATCTTTCAGCACACCTCCTCTCTGAGGACACCCGCACTTTCTCTCTAAGTGCGTAACTTTAAATAAAACTTTTACTCTGCTTCACTACTATGTCTCTGCCCTTCAATTCTTTGTTGTGGCGGGGACAAAAAGGAAGAAAATAAACAATGCCCCCTGCCTAACAGTTAGAGGCAGTTAGAGGAAAAGGAGGGAGAAGAAAGTTGTAATATCCCGGAACTGCCCTACCACTTCTGACCAGAGGGAAGGCTCTGCGGAAGCTGAAGCCCAAACGCACTGCTGAGAGACTGGTTTTGCCCTGAGAAAGCCCTAGGCCATGTTTCTCGAGTATATGTCACAGGCCTGGTGGAAAGTGTGACTGCTGTTGGCCCCCTTTGCCCAGCTCTGCCATCCCTGTCAGCTCCCAGGTTTCCAACTGGAGCTGGAGGAGCCAGCTACGGGCTCCTGTGGGGCTTGCAGGGCATGGGGAAGGCTGGGCTCTGAAAGGAAGTGAGGGGCCTGGGGAATTTTACATTCTAGGCCAGCACTTCGCCCGCTACATGCAAATGGAGTCCCTTCCTCGGCACCTGCACCCCCCAGCTGCATCGGGGATCACCAGCTCTGTCCAGCCCAAGCGTGAAGACTCAGGGGAGAAAAGGTGTGGTGCCTTCTTTCAGACCTTTCAGATGGAAATGTCAGTCAACACCTGTCTGACCCGGTGGTTCACTCTGTGCTACCGATTCACCCCAAAGGCTCAGGGTGGCCCCGGAGCTCTAAGACCAGACCACTTCTCACAGCTGCACTGCTCAGTTCTGGCTGGGCCCCTGCTCAGTGGGTGGTCTTACCAGCCACGGTTAATGATGGAGTCTTCCTAGGATGCTCCCTGGATTTCTGGAAGGTTCCCTGGAGTGTCTTTATGTCATTCACCTTCCTCCAAGCCCTCCTCAGGGTCTGGCTGGTGCAGTGGCCGCTTTTCTGAAGGAAGATTTTATTCTTATGCTTACATCAGATGTATATGACAGAATGAAGAGGTTAGGTAGGACCTTGGCCTTGGAGTCTAAAGACCGGAGTTTTACTCCTGGCAAAATGTATTAGATAGAGATATTCTCTGATTTTTCCTTTCACTTCATTAATTAATACTATCATCCATACTATCATTGATGTACTGAATCCTTCCTGGGTTCTAGGCACTGTGTGCTAACCACCTTACTAAACATTCGTTCACTGAATTATCACAGCCCTATGGGTTGGGGGGCACTGCTGCTCTTGTTGGCAGAGGAAAATGAGGCTTAAGGAGGTTAAGTAGTTTCCCAAGGTCATCAAACAAGGATGAATTTGGACCCAGGCATTTCTAACTCCACAGTCTGGTCATCACCACCTCAGATCTCTGCAGAGCACCACTGATCAAAATGGACTTGACTATGTTCCTCTTTGGATTGAGTGCTTAGTAACAAATAGAACAATTCTTTAACCACTTTAAAAAAGAACTCAGTCCAAGTTTCTTTGGATTTCTCATTACCTAAGACAGGTCCTGCCTCTGGTTTGTACCTGTCCACACTATAGGAACACAGGCTGTGCATTTTTTGTAGCTGAGTGCAGTGTCCACCTTTCTTGGTGCTCTATTCCCACTAGTGGCTCTTGGTGTCCCACTCCTGGCTCTTCTGCCTTAGCAGCCAGTTTTAGAAACACACCACCAGTTCAACCTCTGCACCCTCCCCTGGACACACGTTTGGTCATTACAGCTCCTGTGACTGCAGGGACTGTGACTGTTGGAAAAGGGTAGGGGAGATGGATCTTGAGGTGAGCCTTGAAGGGCAGGTTTGATTTGGGCAGGCAGAGAAAAGTTGGTGAGGCATATATTTTCTAGGGCTGGAAGCAGGCTGTGCATACATAGGTCATGGTATAGAGTCAGGAATGGGAAGAACCCAGGGAGGGGAGGAGACTGGTCTGAGATGGAGCATCCTGATGATGAGTTGGGAGCTCCAGACAAGTGCAACCGATTCCTTAGCAGGGGCAGGCAACTGGCACTCAACTTTCTCTGCCTTCCTGATTTCCATGGGGTCACCGAGCACAGGAAAATGCACCCTTCTCATCTCCTCTCTTTCTGCTGGGTCAAACAGACTAAGTCAGAATTCCACAAAGTCTCAGTCCAGATAAATAGGACAGAAGAAATAACATTCAAGGAGAGCACCTCATTCAAGGGAAAGTTGCTCTGTTTTTCCAAACTTTTGTCCCACCCATGCTTGTCTCCAAAGTCAATGTCTCTTCTTTGCTGCCCCATTGGATTCCAAGGGTAGTTTCTGTTATTGCACATTCTTCTGAAGGTACAGGGAACCTCATTGGTAACAGGTTCCTCAGAATCTTGGGTGTTCCATAGAGGCCTTGAAACTCGTCAGATAGAGGCTGATTAAAAAACGTACATTAAGACAGAATTTAAAAACCATAGATTGACTAATAGCGATCCAAAGACCAGTATACATCTAACCACCTTTTTGTTTATTTTAAAATGTGTTTCCTTCATGGTCTTTTTTGTGGCTCGCCCTATGCAGTTTGTGTACTTGTTGAGAGCTTTATCTGTCTTTGACACTGTTTTTGCTGAACTCGGTTTTTCCGAGACCCTTTCTCCTCAGAGGCTCAGTTTCACCTTGCCATCTGCAGTCGACCAGTTTCTGTGGCAGAAGAGGCCACATCTACTTCCTGTAGGCCGCCTGGGCAGAAGCATGCAGTGGTGTCTCCTCCTGATCTGGGCCCAGGGGCTGCGGCAGGCTCCCCTCCCAGCCTCAGGTAAGGCCTGAAAGTCTAGCCTGCAGCTGGAGAAAGAGGAGAGCAGGGAGGAAGCAAGGGGAGGCCGGGAGTGAAGGCCGCGTCTGTCTGAGGGAAGGCGAAGCAGTTTTCAGAGCCCAGTGTCCTGTGGTGTGAGAAAAGGCAGTCTCTGCGAAGGAGATGCAGCTCTGTTTAGGGTGGCAGATGAAGGGCATGGGGTTGGGGGTGCCTGGCTGGCCAACCCAAGAAAGGAAGCTGGAGGGCAGCAAGGGACTCAGCAGGATGAGTGAGCAGCTTGTAGAAGTTCACTCTTGGTCCATCCTCCTTTCTTCTGTCCTTGAGGAAACTTCTAGAAAAACACAATGTTTTTTTTGTGGATCAAAAATGTCTTCTTCACAGATTTCAGAGCTTCTACCATTATAGACTGAATTTCTATTAAACCCATTTCCTTCTGTGTTAAAACTCAAAGACAAATGTTCTGAGGTGAAGCACAGATATTTAAAATCTACAGTATTAATTTAGTTTTTGTTTTGCTTTCTGAACCATCTGTGGGTGGAGCTGCACCCCAGGGTGCTGTGGGTGGTCACTGCTGAGGATGGCAGTTTTACCCAGGAGAGACAGTTTCTCTCAAGCCTCCTTTCCTGTGGATTTTTGTGACTCTCTTGAAGGTTGATCCACACATGCCAAGTGGCAGTCAAACAGAGAGGTTTTCTTTCAAAGGACATGTCCAGCCCAAGGAAGGTAGGATAAAGCAGAAGCAGTGGCTACAAGGGTTTATATTTCTAGGCAGGGAGACCAAATAAGCAAATGGGAATAACCAGTGAGCTCTGGGACAGTACAGGGTGGGCTGCAGACTGTCATTCCCCAACCAGTTCTGGCCTCAAACCCTTGCAACTTCTACAGGCAGCTTCAAGGCCAGCTATTGGCCTGGCTCTCATGAATAATTCTTCCCCTTTCCTAGGAGCTGTGACAGGAAGAATAGTCACAATGGGCAACATTTCTGCAGAGGAAGGTGGCTCTGTCACCTTACAGTGTCAGCTCTCCTCCACCACTGCCAAGGTGACTCAGGTCAACTGGGAGCATCAGCACCGAGTGCTGGCCGTTCATCACGCCAACTTGGGGTGGCACATCTACCCAGCCTTCCAGGAGCGAGTGGCCCCAGGTCCAGACCTGGGCCTCACCCTCCAGTCGCTGACCGTGAATGACACAGGGAGCTACTTCTGCATCTATCACACCTACCCCGACGGGATCTACAAAGGGATGGTCTTTCTGGAGGTCCTTCAAGGTATGCCTTCTAGAGCAGGGTGGCTGATGAATCTCATCCTCTAGGACAGAAAACGCATTCCCACTGAACACTGCAATCTGCGAAACAGTGCCTCTCAGCCCTGGTTTGCATTCAGATCACCTGGAGCTTTTACATGAGACTGGTGCTGGTGCCCCATCCCAGGCCGATTCAGCTAGAATCTCCAGGGGCAGAGCCGGAATGTGACAGATTTTAAAGGCACCCCTCATCCCCAGAGAGTCGAATGTGCAGTCAGGATTGAGACCCACTGTTTGGGTAAGAAACACATCTTATGTATATTTATTTGTGAGGAAGATGGGATGTCATTTATTAGTGTAACACCATGCAGATTAGAATTAGACTGTATGTTCACAAGGATTCAAGCACAGTGTGTGCCAGGTGTAGATGTACAATAATTTACGTTTGTGGGCCACTTTATGTTTCCAAAATGTTCTCACATTCATTATACACCTGGACACTTAAGCCAGTTCTCTGGAAGGTGGGAAAGGATTATTGTATCTGACACAGCATAACAGAGTGGTTACGAACTCAGACTCTGACACCAGACAGCCTGGGTCCAAATCCTGCTGCTGCTGTTCATTTCAGGCAAGGTTATTAGCTTCTCTGTGCATTGGTTTTCTCACCTGTGACCTGAGGACAGATGTAAGACCTTATGAGGCACTAACATAGGATTGAATAACTTACTAGAAGAAAATGCCCTTAGAACAGTGCCTGGAGCATGGGGGGGCAGTAGGTGAGTGTAAGCCTCGAGCACAGTTCCTCTCTGCCTGATGGATGGAGGTGGAAGTCGAGGGACACAGTTGCTCAGAGTGGTAGAGCTGATTTTAACACAGGTGCTCGGTTCCACTAAACCATAGCCTCAGAACTTCTATGCTGCCATCAGTCATGTTGGTAGTGAAATTTTATGAGTTAGCAAAATGCCTCAGTGTGAACTGAGAAGATAAAAAGTTGCCTTAAAGTTTCTTTTCAAAAGCTCTTGCCACTTCTTGGCTGGCTCCCACCTAGACCAAAGCAGACAGCAGGCGAGAGCCTCTACCCTTCTCTGGCTCTGTGGACAGTTGTCCACAGCCCTCGGAGCCTCCGTTTTCTCCACGGCTGTTTGGCTCCCCATCTGCCCTCTTTGCCCACCTGTGGCCAAAGCAGGGGACTGAACCCTCAGGGCAGGAGAAACAGATTCTGGGGAATTGGGCTCTGCCTCTCCTGCCCTGTACCAACAGGCCGCGTGCATACTGGGGGCACTGCCCTTGTCCTAGGTGATTGCCTTTCTGAGCCACCTTTCCAGCAATCTAAGCCCTTAGAGGGGAGAGTGCCCAGTCTCTGCTATACCCTTCTTTCAAGTCTTGCCTGGACACCTGGGTTCTGAGCTCCCGGCAAGGAGGTGGAAACCCATCCAGCACAGCACACATCTAGGCAACTGTCCCGCTTCTCACACTCTCCTTGGATCAAATACCACTCATTTCTCAAAACTACCCCCTGCCTCTTCCTCCTTCTAGTTACATTTTATGTCTTACTAGCAATTCACTTGTTGATGCTTTAAGTCATGTCACAAGTACTTATTAAGCACCTGTCATGTGCCAGGTGCTGGAAAAACAACAAAGAATAAAGCCCCAGAACCTTACTCCTCTAGGGTCTCATAGCCTAGATGGAATAAGCATAATAGGTTTAGGGTGAAAGGGTATTTCCTTTTTTCTTTTTTGTACCTGAATATTAGTTTATTTTAATTTTTAGTTAAACTTTTCTTTTTACTAGTATGATTATAAGTATGAAGTTTAATGAAAGAAAATGTTCACTTTCTGTTTTTTTTTTCCTGGATGTTACTATTTGTTTCATTTCATGATTATTACTGAAAGTGATTTTGTCAAATAGAGAAAGGGAGTGACAAGTGTGAAAGGTGTACCAGTGCTCAAAGATCAGCCACTGATTTCATGATGAGCCAGACACAGATGCTCTGCTGTCCGAAGAGCTGGGCCTAAAGATCCTAGTCCTGTGGTTAGCGACAGGCCTGGCAGGTCCCCATCTCTGTGCCCTGACACTGAAGCTTCCCAGGGAAACGGTTGCCCCTTGCTTCTGGCTGTGCCCGTTCACCCATATTTTGTCTTCCGTCTAGTTGCTGAGCACAGCTCTGGGTTCCGGATCCCATGGCTTGGAGCCATGGTCACAGTGCTGGTAGTCGTCTGCACAGTGGTCATCATTGTGGTCACACTGGCCAGAAAGGTAAAGGCTGCTGCACATCTCAGTCATGGGCATCCTGCCCCTGCCACCCTGGCCCTCTGTCCTTTCATGTCCCCTTTCTGTCCAGAGAGAAACCTAGATGTGATCTCCCCCACTGCTTTTGGTGCCTTTTTTCAAGGTCCTTGTTCTGCCTTCTAATAAAGTTGTTTATGGTTTTCTGTCCCTTCCCTTGTCTGGGAGCTCCTAAAAGTTTGGCCCTGTATCCTTCCCATCTTGCCATCACCTACAATCCTGTTTGTACCCGTCCCTTAAGCCACTGCCCTGTCAGCTGATTCACATACTGGGGGTTTGTGCATGTTGGGAAGCTTCTCTGCACTAGGGAATTTTGTACATTAGCTCATTTTATTTCAACAACCCTTCCATAGTGTTGGGCTACCAGTACTCTGTAGGATGAGAAATAAACATGCCCCGAATTTAGGAATAAAATGTTCATGGCAAGATCAGTAGGTTGTAAATCCTGTTTCTCTAGTTTAAGAGGTCAGGAGGCTAAAGAGAACTGGAGGGGGGTTTTGACGTTTTGGTTTCTAATCTCAGTATCGGATATGTGATTTTCAGAAAGTTGTGCCATCTTCCAGATCTCCATTTCTTCATACATAAAATGGGGATTATGAGTCTGCTTATTTTACATCAAAGTTGTGATGAAAGGGTTGCATATTGCAAGTGAAAGTTTTGCAACAATGAAGAAATATATCAATGCCCTTGTGTCAGTTGTTAGCTATTGAATAGGGTGAGTGAAAGAATCTCCACTCCTTGTTTTGTCTGCCCTCTTGGGCCTTTTAAGCTTCCTCATATTGCCTTAATTCAAGTCACCAAACAAACATTTTGGGGAATGTGAGCCTGTGATCCCCAACACTGTTTTCTGCCTCATCCTAAACCCCCCTTCCTAGCTCCTGACTCACTTTCCCTCCATCTCTGGTTCTGCTCAACTAAAAACTCTGAGGCCCCCAATATTATTCTCTCTGGACTGTGTACTTAGTGCTCTTATTGCTGATAAATGTGGGTTTACAGCTATCACTTTATTTTCTTAATATTTGTTTTGCCTGTTTTTTCCCCTATTCTTTCTTGCCATCTTTTGAATTAACTGCTTTTTATTATTAAAAAGATCTATTTGGCTGTTATGCATTTTTTTTTGCTATTCTTTTAGTGGTTGCATTAAAGATTACAAAATATATTCCTGACTTAGTAAAGTCTAATATAAATTAATACTTTGATCTTTTCTTGGATTATGCAAGAATCTTAGAACATGTCAGCTATTTTTAATGACCTCCCCTACTTACTGCTTTTATTGCTTTATATTTATTTTAGTTTTCGATATATTTTCAACCCCAAAAGAAATTAGTAATATTTTGTAAGTCAATATTCATGAAGATCTACCATTTCTGTTATTTTTCATTTCTTCCTACATGTCCTATTTTATAATCTCTGCCCAAAAAATGTGCTTTACTATTCCCTTTTGTACAGTTATAGTGGTGATGAATTATCTTGGTTTTTGTTTGTTTGAAAAAATATTTATTTTTCTTTAATTTAAAAATGATGCATTTGTTTTGCTGGGTATAGAATTTTATGTTGATGGTTATTTTCTTTCAGCACATGGAAAATACATTGTCTCTGGCTTCCTATATTTCTGTTGAGAAATTACATAAGGGTCCTTATTTTTGTTCTTTCGAAGGTATGTTTTTTCCTTCTGTTTTTAAAAAATTTTCTTTCTCTTTGGTTTTCAGCAATTGTACAGGGATATAGTTAGATATAATTATCTTTGCATTTATTCTCTTTGGGGTTTGGAGTGCTTTGTGAATTTGTGGCTTGATGTCTTTTGCCATTTTAGGTCATTCCCTAGATCATTTAAATCTTCTTTTAGCACATCTCCATCCTTGTTTTCCTCTCCTTATGAAATTATAATTGCAGGTATTTTCAATGTTTTTACTTTTTCCCATGTCCCTCATCCTCTTTTTTGTATTTCCATCCATTTGTCTCATTAAGTTTCATAAAGAATGTTTTCTTTTGACATACCTTCCAATTTACTAAGTATCTTTGATGTTGTAATCTTCTGCTAAGCCCATCTATTAACTTCCTAACTTCAATGATCATATTTTTCATATCTAGGACTTTCAATTTTTTTCTTTGAATAATTCACAGTCTGCCAAAATTCTCAGTCATGTCTTTCAATCCATTGAAAACATATATCATAGTTATTTGAAATCTGTGCCTGATAATCCTGTTAGCTGGGCCCTCTGTGGATCTTTTAGTATTGTCTATTTTTGGTTTAATATTGTCTGTTTTTGGTCCTATATTATCTTCTTGACTGTCTGGTTACTTTTCATTGAGTGCTGTGCATTCTACACAAAAACCTGTAGCAATAATTTGAGGCTCTAGATAATATCATCATTCTCCAGAGAGAATTCTTTTTGCTCCTATAATGTGACTAGTCTGGAGGCCCAAGCATTCCCAAATCACCTTAATTAAATCAGTAGTGAGATGATTTAAAGCTGGACTTAATTTATGGTATTTCCTTACTCATAGTCTGTGTGTTCATTGGGGTCCCAACTAAAAGTCTGTGGTGTTTGCTGAAATCTCCCCTCCTTAGTGGTTTCTGAACTCCAAATTTTGTCCCTCCAGCCAGAAACCATGTAGGTTATCTGCCTTTCAACCATAACTTTCAGGCAATTTCCTCCAGGAGAAAATGTCCTCAGGTGCTCATCTTCTCTCTCTGGGCTTCCTTCTCTTGGATCTCGCTCCTGAGTCCACAAATTTCTCACTGATTTGGTAGATTCTTGATTACTACAAATAGATGTTTCTAATATTTTCTTCAGCTTTCCTAGCTGTTCTCAGTGAAAGGGTTCAAAGCAACACAGTCAATTGTAGTTCTATCAGAGGCAGAACTCCTAATTTTGATGTTGTATTTCACATTTGCATTCAGAGGTTGAGTTTTACAAGCAAAGCAGATTTAGTTAGTCCACCCACTCTGTACCTTGGGCTCTACTGGGTCAAGACCCCCCCACCTGACTTCTAGCACTTCTACACCCGATTCCTGACCAGCCATTTAGCCTACATCTGGCTGGGCCACTACCATCCCAGAAAGGAAGGATTTGGACAGCTTCATGCTCTTAGGTTCTGGTTCCATCTTGCTTGCTTATTATTAGTTCTTACCCTCTTTTTCTATATCTCCCTCTCCCAGAAATGGACCATCATTTGAGTTTTCCCTTCTTTCTCATTTGACATCTATTTGGCTTTTTCACTCCTGTTATTCCCCTGAAGAGCATGGACTTTCCAGGACTCAGAGTTGGGATGAATTGCGCAAACTAGGATTGCTTAATAAGAAAGTGCCATTGTAATGTTCTTCAGCTTAGACCTCATGGTATTTTGCATTTTAAACAGCCTTATTTCTCTGTCCATGACTTGACTTCTTTGTGTATATTTTCCTACTATGAATTCTGCTTATGGAGTTATATATACTTTTTCTGCATGCAAATATCTATTATCAGTGACTGACCTTTAGTTTTTAGCCTAATATCTTAAATTCTCTTAGTTTTCTGTGTAGAGAAACCCAATGGCCAGTAGGGGAGGTGGAGGTGGTCCTGACAGGGTCCTATCTTGCACCAAGGGGAAGTGGGACACTTCTGCAGCTCCTGATGATACAGGAGAAGTAGGTGGCTTAAGGATCTCAACTGCCTCTACCCGGAGATCCTCCTCCCCAGTCACCGAGATTCCTCCTCTCTTACCAAGACCCTGATTTGGGCATAGCAGACTTGCCCAGGCTTAGAATTCAGCCTCTTTGAATTCTGTCTCTATTACAATCATGTCCTGTCCCTGGCCTTCAGGGCTGGAGATGAGTATTTCTTTAACGGCTTCCGTGGAGGAGCTCTGACTCTCACACTTTGCTTTCAGTTGTTGACAGATGTGAGCCTATCATGTTCTCTCCACAGGGCATCAGTAAAATTTAGTAGAAGTCGCTCAGTCCCACACTGTCCTAATAATCACTATCTACCCCATGCTTCTCAAATGTCATAGATGTTAAACCAGCTCATAATCCCCTTCCATCTGTGTCCCTTCCCCTTTCACGGCCAGTGGTGAAAAGCATCTAGGAAATGACAGTACTGGTCAGGGAGAGAGCATCTGAGCAAAGGGGCTGACAGCATTCCCTACAGTCCCCGAGAGCTGGCAGGTTGCATTATTTAGGAGTATGGCCTTTGGAGTCAGACAGACCTAGGTTTGGATTCTGTGTCACCTAATTTTGCTGAGCCTCAGATTTCTCATCTATAAAATGGGAATAAGTGTGGTGCTTCCCTCATAGGGTTTTGGGAAAACTTAGATCAAATAATTCACACAAGGCATTTGGCATTTGTCCTGGCACATATTAATAACTATTATTTATTAAGTTATTACAATAATTACACATTTTAATTACCATGGCACCTCATAATACATGATGCTTGATAAATATTTCTAATTGCATGTGTTGATTAAAACTAAATGAATGAATATTATTTGCCAAACAGTTATTGGGAAAAAGTGCCCTTCCCCTCCCCTGAGAATGTCTTTTGGTGAGAGAAAGGAGAGACGGGTGTTTCCAGCTCTGGGATAGTGACTACCAACTCTCTGCTCTCCTCACGTTTTCCCAGAGGACTGTGTTGATCCTGGCAGGACCCAGCTGCAATCTCTGTAGTTCCCTTTGGTCCTGTAGGTCAGTTAGGACAGGGTTGGTGCATTAATCCCAGACTTGATTTTCACACTGATTACAATTACAGAGTCCCCTACACAGAGTGGAATGAAGGCAGAAGAACAGAGAGACCCACCTCAGGTGTATTTACATTGCCCAGGGGACCTTTGGAAGCTAAAATAGTTTTAAGATTCCAAGGCAAGGGTGGCCAGTCTAAGAATGGGAAGGAAAACACACCAACACAAAAGGTCACAATAAATTCTTTGAGAAAGCATTGGGTATTCATATTTTAAAAATGGACTGGACAGAATCGGCATGACCAGTGATAATCACACTTCTCCTTCATACCTGTGGTAATGCAGCCACTTCCGTGGGAAAGGAAGGAATGAAACAGTATATGGGGAGAGACCAGCTGCTCAGGGCCAGCGGTGTGGCACCAGACCTCATTTTTGATATTCATTCATGATGCACAGCCTTGTGCATCTTGAGAAGCTGCAAGATGAGAGGGAGCTCGGCTGAGAAGAAAGAGCAAGGCCTGAAGTCAGATGGACCCAAGTCAGAACTGGATTTGTCCTTGGGCAGGTGATTGCACTGCTCTGTGCCTATCAGCCCATTCAAGGTGGGAACTTCAATAGGGTTGTTACAGAGATTACACCGAGAAGCTAGCTCAGTCCATGCTCACAGCAGATTCTCCATGGATGGTGCAGCTCTGGCATCCAGGCCCTCTACCAGAAGTTGGAGTGTTGGCTGGGGAAGCATGGCAGGAGATGAAGCATTTTGGGGGATTCACAGTCTCCTGTGGGGAATGTAGTGCAACTAGGGACTTTCTTCCCATAAGAATGCACCCTTACACAATGTTTTTTATACAAATCCCTTGAAGTCCACCTGTGGCTCTTGTAGGAGGTTAAGTCTACCCCTCCTATAGACAATGGGAGCCAGTGAAGGGAGGACTTTTCTAAAAGGTCAGTGGTGTCAAATGCAGTCAAGAGGAACAGAGGATTGGGACTGAGGCTGCCTGCCAGGCTCAGTGGGTAGGAAGTGATGGGCAGTGCCTGATGCGCGTGTGGCAGGAGTAGTGTCAGTGGAGTGGTTAGTATGGAAATGTAGCTGTGACAAGGGTGAGAAACTATGAGTGGAGGAGCTGGTGATGGTGAGAACATACCTTTGCCTGTTATACATCTGTGTGCCTGTGTGAGAGAGAGAAAGGAGGGGAGAGATAATCACAGCAATCTGTCACGTTGGGGAGTAACTTTTGAATAACATCCCCACATACACACTTTGTGGTTGGTTTGTTTTTACAAGAAATCTCTCAGAATCCATTCCATGGAAAGTGGCCTCGGGAGAATGGCATCTGAACAGGAGGAATGGTGCCCGGGCTTGCCGCCGCCCCCTGCAAGCGATGTCCAGGAGGAAGATGTGCCTGCCGGCCTCTGCGGAGAGCAGACGGATGATGACTACGCTGAGCCCCACGACTACTTCAACGTCCTGAGCTACAGAAGCCTCGGGAGCTTCAGCTTCCCAGCACAGACCGGTTAGCTCCCAGAGGTGTCTTCTGGGACACCTTCCTGTCTTTGCTCTAGCAGATGGGTGTGTATAGCGCCTGCTCTCTCATCCCTGCTGTGCGTGCGTGCATGTGTGTGTCTTCAGTAGAGGGACTAAGTGCATCTTACTTTCTGTCTGCATCTTTTCCACCCTTCCCTTCTATCTCATTTGGGAGACCTGGGATGAACAGCATGTATCATGTTTATTAATGCAAAGTTAAGAACACCAGCCTGACCTGGTTTGCAACCTGGCAGTTTGAGCTGCCCCACCGCTCTGAGAAATGCGTTCCTCTTAGCCCAGGGCAGGGGTTGGGCTACAGGCTTTGTGCTGGACAATGATGGTGTGACTGCAGAACTACCTCATCTCCTTTCTCATTGTCATTTTCATCAACATTCACACATGCGAAGCAGTTTGTCAGTAGGCATGGCACCAGCTCCTAGGGGAGATTAGAGGGTGACTACACTATAGCGTTGGGTCTCAGCCCTGTGAGAACTTGAGGTTAAGTACAGAGACAACATTCACACTGAGCTAATGGAGGTAATACAAGACACAGGCCTTTGCAGGAGAGGTGGTCAGAACAGGCTTCTCTGGGGTGCAGTGGCAGGGGTGGATGAAGGGAACGGATAGACTGATTTGGTGAGAGCAGGTGTTTTGTCTAGGGAACTCAGAGAAACTCAAGCTGGGAACAGAGTCTCACCCAGAAGACTCTGGCACCAAAGGAACCAATAAGATTTCACAGTTGATTGTCTGGGAAGACAATTCAGGTCTTCTTTTGTTGGCTGTACTCAGAGTTCAGTGAGGGCCTGATGCAGAGGACTCTGGGCCTGCTGGCTGCACTTGCTGGGGGAGCCCACAGAAATGGTACGTGTCCACAGCAGGAGCTGCATCGTAGCCCTGGGGCCACGAGCAGCCTTCTCTCTATCACCGAGCCTTTGAAGAAAGAATCTGTTTCCCACCAAAAGCAAAATCTGTATTTTTAAAATAGGGACCCTTTCTAGGGAAAAAGGAGGGTGATAGAGGGTTTAGAAAATGGTCGCCCTCCAACTAGCTGCTCTGAACCCTGAAATTCACCCCCTGACCTCTTCGCGGGGACCTTGGGGTGGCATCTGAGCTGCTCATTTCTGATTAGCTGGCATTTATCCTCCCACCACCTCTCAGAGGAGTGAGGAGGAAGGTTGGCTTTCCAGATGATGGATTTTCTTTCATAGGCACGGGAACTGAGAGAGAATGCGAGGCAAGGCTGTCGTTTGCCAACAGTTAAAATAAAGCACCGCCCTGCTGCCCACGGACAAACCAGGCAGATTGAGCCAGAAGACAGCACAGCTCCTCCTCCTCCTCGGATTTTGGTTTTTATTTTTCTCACTTCTCTACCAAGCAGGTAGGTAGTTAGGAGCAATGAGCTAAAATCTGTCCAGAGAGCCAAATCCTTTGGAAAAAAGTTAGATAGATAACAACATAAATGCTGTTATTTTCCAGGGCAATTCACAGCATTTTTCTTGCAAAACTGGTGCAAAGTGGTTGGGCGTAGAACACAATCCATGAATTGGAAATGAACTAAAATGTAATGACAGAAAGGGAGTGATGAGTTGGTTTGGAGGAGATGTGTAATGGGCCAGGGCTGGGAGGAGAGCTGGGTGTTTTTTAACATGATTATGGCAACAGTGAAACATTTACAAACACCATTTGGATGGTGATAAAATACAGAAGGACCCATGGATGTTGTAAATGGGTCAGTTCACTAAAATGAGATAGAATTAGAAAATACATTTTAAGGTGGAATTCATTGAACTAGTGGAATTTAAAGTGGACTTCCTTGGAGAACCAGACAAGATAATCCAGTAACATCCAGAATCCTGGAGACATGCACTGTCCAGAATGGTAGCCACCCTCCACATGTAGCTACAAGCAGATGAGATGTGGTTAGCGCTGTAAACGTAACTGAGGTGTGCTGTGCTGTAAATGTAAAGTGCATACCAGATTTTGAAGATGTAATGTGAATGATAAGAATATAAACTATCATACTGGTAATTAAAAAATATTGACTACTTGTTGAAATGATAGTATTTTGGATATACTGAGTTAAAATATATTATTAAAATAATTTCACCTGTCTCTTTTTATTTTCTTAATGTCGCTACTGGAAAACCTGAAATTGCATATGAGGCTCCCATGGTAGTCTCATCGGACTGTGCAGCTCTAGGCTCTAAATTTGAGCCAAGCTGGTACCTGGGGAGGAGGATGTGTACCTCTGACTGGTGGTCTTTTGTCTCTTTCTCATTTGAAACAGGGTTTGAGGAAACTTTTCTCTCTTATTATGTTTTTTTTTTTTTGAACATTATATAGGGAAGGGTCACAGGGGAGATTGAGGTAGGGGACCAGTAAGTGCAGACCAGAAGGAGTCCTAAGCTCTCTTAGATCCTCTCTTGGATTCCATGATAGGAAGGGGAGAGAATACACGAATCAATGAGAGTTTGGGGAGGAATATATCTAGGGATTCCCTACCCCTTATCACTCATATTACAAGCCTGGGCTTGTACAGTCTGATCTATAATCTCAAGAATCATCCTGATCAAATATGAGAAATTTTGAGCCATGGAGCTTTGAGGTAGCTGATCTTTGTGAGTGGGCAGGACCTTCCCATGCAATTTTATTTCATGACTTGTCTCTGAATCATCATACACTCAGGTTCATGCAGACTTTGACAGTGTTGGCTGGGCAGGCAGGGTGACTGTGCATGCTGTGCAGGAATGGCAGCATCCTGGTGGGCACCCTGCACTCACAAAGGGGAGGGAAGCAGCAGCGCACTGTGGCTGCCAGTTGTCGGGAGTGAGTTTTTGTTCTGACTTCTGGTTCTTCTCAGCCTGCTCCATCGCCGTGACCAGTAACGCCCCCATCTTTTCCAAAGCACACTGCCAAGAGGCCCTGGGGATCCTCACGTGTGCAAGAGCCTGAGTCTCTTGGAAATCAAAATTATGTGCTTTAATGTCTGATAGGATTTTTGTTTGTATAAGGTAGGGTCTAAGATAATACTACCCAACAGAACTCCCTGCAATGATGGAAATGTTCTGTGTCTGTACCATTCAATATGGCAGCCACGAGATATAGGTAGCTACTGAGTACTTGATTTGTGGCTAATGTGACTAAGGAACTGAATTTTTACTTTTTATTTAATTTTAATAAACTTTAAATGTAAATGGTGGCATGTGACTGGTGTCTAATATATTAAATGTCATGATTCTAGTAATTGCCTTACATATGGAGAAAACACAGAGGAAGTGTGTTTATAAGCCCTGGGATGGGTCTACAGCTGCTCCGCATTTGAAGGGCTGTCACCAAGAAGAAACGTGGGGGGCCTCTTCTATTCTGTGTCCTTCATTCGAGCAAGACAAAGCATGAGGCCAAAGCAGGCTGTGCATTTCTTTTTTCAGACTCCACCCAGAAGGTATCTGAGGCAGCTAGGTGGTCCAGTTCACATGAACAGGGCCAGGACTGTCAAGGAGTTTCCAACACATTGGTGTTATGCAGGAATAGACTTGCATCGTTGGACTGCAGTCACTCTGACTTCATGTCAGAATGTCGTGAATACCTTCTCTGGTGCCAAAAGTCTGATTTTACAAAGGAGAAGTATCTGATGTGCCGTGGACGGGGAGTCAGGATACTTGGTCCAAGCACTGAGCGCAGCTGTTCAGCTTCATGTCATGGAAAAGCTGCTTAATTGCCCGATCCTCATTACAAATGTTTCCTCATTTGTAAAATGGGAATTGTAATATCTACACATTCAGGTTTGGGGAAGATGAAGTAAGGTAATGTTGCTGAGTCTTTGTAAGCTGTGAAATGCTGATTAATGTTATTAATATTATTATGCCTGGAGCTGCTTATGATGCCACAGAGGTCCCCAAGGGGACATCAAAACTTGTTGGGAAGCAAACAAGGTATCTGGGATTATCAAATTTTTAAAAACTGGGATTTAAAGAATGCTAACAGTGACAGATATATCTTTGGGGTCTGCAAGTTCTCTGTATTTACAAATTTTGTGTTTTAAGTGAGATGATAATCTTTAAAAAGGTCAAGCATGTCTTGGGTTTTGATGACCTTTTTATAACAGGGTCCAGTCATTGTCTTCAGTCTCCATATTTGTGTTTATAATTAAGCTGATTTCAAAAGACATGGAGGCCTAATTCAGCAGTGATTCATTGCCTTTGGAGAGTGAAACAGTGGAGGATTTTGCAGTAGCTGAAATACTAGGGAAGTGGTGGGAGCATTGCCTTCCCTTTCCGCACGTGGCCCAGGGGTTCTGCACAGCGAAGGACACGTGCTGAGGCAGGCGGTGCTCCTCTTTGTGAGCAGTGACTTAGGTAAAGCAAAGCATCCTTCAATATACTAAACTGACATAGTTATTTTAAATTGTTAATTTCATAATCATACTTTCATTGATTTTTTACTTATATTTATTTTCATTTTAGTCTTATAATTCTGTAAGAGCTATAAGCATAAATAGGTTTGCCTGTCTTATGTTTGAGCATATATAAGAAAGATTTTAATAAAAATAGTTATACAGTCTATTAATTGTTCATTAATTTGTTTCTAAACATTATAATAAAAATAATCACAGACTCTTCCCAGGGCGAAGAAGTATATTTTTTCTTTGTAAGTGTATACTCATCACTCAAGGTTAAGAAACACCAATGTGGTATACTTATGATTGGATTTCAGAAACCCTGACTTCAATCACTATTTACTGTTTTATATTTGGAAAAACCACATTTCTGAAACTTTGTTTTTATAAAGTGGTGTAATAACAGCTACCTTACAATGTTCCATAGGGTAACTGTGAGGATGGGTAAAGTATATGAAGGAGAAACTTACAAACTGTTAAGTGTCACATGAGTAGTCTATGTGCCATTTACTATTGTTACAGCTCATATAGAAACCATATGACTACATTTCCAACAGAGAGGAGGCCTCAAGAGTTTGTGGGTGATGTACAGACAGATCAAAGGCTCTGGGTGAAGTTGACTGGCATCACTAAGCTAAGCTTCACAGAAGTCAAATAGGGGCAAATCATGCAACATGAAAATGTTTTCTTCCTTATTTTCTTCTTCCTAGAATATCAGGTGCACTTAGTGGTTCAGTGACTGAATTGCAAGAAGTCACTATTTAAATTCAAAGGTCACCTTTAGCCCAGAGTTCTCCTGGAGACTCTCCCCATCCCAAGCCTGCACCTAGGTGTCTGTGTTCCTCACACTGGTTGGAAATGTCTCTCTGCATTCACTTGAACCCAAAGCCTGACATCCTCCGGAGTCCCCCAACTAGAGTGCATATTCCTTGGACCCTTCCTTGGCGTATCCTGCCCATGTATTTTTTGTTAGTTTACAAACTTCCATGGCACTGGGAATCTGCAGAGTACAATCTAGCTCTTGAATTCATATTAATCTTTATTAAATTCTAGTTGTTAAGATTTTAAGGCTTACCAGGCCTGAAATAATTTTCTCCATTTTCTTCATAACACTGCACAGTGTTGAGTGAAATGTAGATGCTTACTGAAGACTTAGTCTAATTCAGTTAGGTCGACTTTTGCAGGGACAAACAAGATGTGCGTTTTCTCCATCACTGGTAATCTCTGTGAGAATGATCAGGCTGGAGAACCCTTAGGGAAGGCTGCATATGAGAAAGGGCCCATGGAGCAAGTAGGAGTCCCTTAGGGGTCCCCAGAGTCTACAAATGAGGACATATTTTGAGTCATGACCTTTCCTTGCCTCAAGAGTCAATGGGCATTGTGTCACATGGGATTGGTTATTTCCACAGAATGCAAGACAGATACTGATTTGCATGTGGGGAAGGAAAAAAAAAGGTCAATTTAGATATCAGTAAATGAACCATGTGATTCTTTGTGAGGTGTGGACAGGAGAGAGGAAAAAAAAAACACCCATTAGTCTTACAGTTGCCCAAAGTGATTTCAGTATCAGAATTCTCACTCTTTTATCAAGGGGAATGATATGTTGAGAATTTTTCTGGCCTTTTAGGTATAATCCTCAATTTAGATGCTCTCAGGCTAGACCTAAACTGCAATGTATGAAAGAATGTGGAGAGCTCTCTGAAGCAGAAACACTGCCACAGCATAAAGAAGACACACTAGGAAACCAAGAGAAGAGTTTTTTTTTTAATTATTCCTTCATATTCAAACTTCACAAACAGTGTGAACTTGTACAATACCTCGGAAAGTGAAACTTACAAAAAAAGTGCTGGTAACATTTAAAAAAAAACAACAAAACCCCAAAAAACAAACATCATTCTTAGCAACATCAATTACTCTTCCACACAAAACAGAAACCTTGTAAAATTTATTTTCGTATTTTTAAGGCGTAATACTTCCGTATAAAGTATATGCAAGAGATAAAACTTCACAGTATTCCAAAATGTCACAATAATAATAATAATATAATAGTATAATGAAGCGCTACAGTTAATTTTTCTTTTTTTGAATGTTTTTTTTCCTGTTTAAATAACAAATACAAGTCACAGGTAAATATACGTGAGAAAAATACGAGGCTAATATTAAATGGCAGGTAAGGATACTGTCACTGTAAGAAAAAACTGGCAGGATGTGTGTATTTAGTCTATATTTTAAAGCACTTGATAGAAAAGGCGTATGCAAGGTTTTTCAAAACAATTTTTTGTTTGATAACTGACAACAATTTAAGAGTATAATGAGGAAAAAAAAAGGAACAAACTCCCTCTCAAAACTATTGACCTGCTCATCCCAAACCATGTCTATACTGATGGATGGATGGATGGATGTGTGTGTGTGCATACATGGGGTTATACGGTACACAGATTGGTAAATGCAGTGTTCCATGCCCACCTGCAAAGATAGGAAGGTATAATCTATGCAGTCATTGAGCCCAGGTTCTTGTTGGGAAATTATTCTTTCAATTTAAAGCTCTTTCTTTGCCTCTCCCTCTTTCCAGACTCTTCCCCAATTTCTAAGTTTTCAGTCTGGAAAGACAATCTAGTTAGAAAAGCCCACCATTCAGAATTCACTGGGGAATAGAAACTGCATGAACAGTGTCACCCACACAGACATTGAAAATTCCACTTGGACAAATGAATATGTATGTGTGTGTGTGCGCGTGTGCACTCATGTGTGTGTGGCCAGTAGCAATTGCAAAAAAGGGACCATATTCCTTTCCATACTAAGATACAATGTGATAAGAAACATTTCTGTGCAGGGAATAGGGTTTTCTTAGAATCTTATCACAACACTGTGGTGGGAAAATTAGGAAATGGGTTCACCTTTCAGCAGTCACCACAATAAACATCACTGAGAACACACATGCCCAGACGTCTGGTCTGTGCACTTGTGTATGTTAACAGCTAGCCATTCAGCCAACAGGTAACAGAAAGACAGCAGACAGCAAAACACGTCAATAAGGTGCTCAAAGAAAAAAGTGGCACCCACTCCTTGAATGGATGACCACATTAAGGTGCTTCAAAAAAGTTTTTTTTTTCAGTTTCTATTTCAGACGTTAAGAGAGTACTGATTTGTACATGGTAGTTCTGAGCCAGGCCAAGGGTTTTGAGATCTCTGACATCTTCCATTGAAAAGGGCTTTCACTGTAGTTTTATTCAGTTTGTTGTGGATCACTTGAATGAAAAAAAATGTTAAGTAGCCAAAAACTGAAATCAAATCAATATGACTAAAATAAATAACAGATAAAATGGTATAGAACATTACTGCATTCCCATTGGATCAAGATGGTTTCGCCCATTCTTTCTCTTTCTCTAACACTGTTCCTTTTTTCTTTGTTACAATCCATTCCTTGTGAACATACAGAAATGACCAAAGTCACTGCAAGTGGCTGTTTTTATTTTTTGTGATCTGTTCCAAGAGTCCAACCTTGTTTCCTCTGCTGCTGTTTGTGTAGCATCTGGTTTTGTAATGAGCATCTGATTTTGTTGTGTGCATGTGTGTATATATGCACATTTACACATCTATACATGTATAATATATACACTATATATATCTGGATATATATATATATATAGGGAGTGTGTATATATTTATACATAATATAGTGTATATTGTTTCAACTGGAGATAAACTGAACTGGGTTCAGACACTAGCACATGTTTATCTTTCCCCTGCTCCTTTTATACATTTTGAACAGTCTGGAGCTTTAATTTATTTTTTAAAGTGCATTTTCAATGGAGAATAACTGTAATTGACTGATTCCTTGGAATATATTTTTGATGAGAAGAATCTGACAGTTCTCAGCCCCAAGCAAGAGAAATCTGGGTCCGCTCGTGCCGGGGGCTGATGTGGCAGCGCCAGGCCTGTGCCTGAGTGACGACTGGGCGTTCTGGACTCTGGCCACCTTAGCAGCAGCACCTTTAGGAGGAGGCGGGGCAGAAGAGGAAGAAGGAAGGAAAGCTCAGATGAGGAAGGATGAGTTTGCGATGTGTTGGCAGGTCGAAATTGCTAACTTTGTGTGGACTTGTGCAGTTCCTGCTTGGGACATGCCATCTCGTCCCTTCCCCACCCACTGACACCAACCTCCCCTCGCTCCCGCGTGCTCAAGCCCTGCCTGCTCCCGAGGCTGATTTCCGTGTCGGCTCCCTGTGGGTATGTGAGTGCCAGCATCGAGTAGGAATAAGGCACCAGAGAAATCAAAATGTTACAAAAAGATGCAAAACCCCGTTTCAAAGAGCCTCTCCCATCGCTCCATTAAAATATTGCATGTGATACCATTCATTTGTGTGTACTGAAATGTGTCAAATGCAGTCTCTGGAAGGATCTCGAGGCCCTTCAGCACCAGAGATCTTTAGGAATGCACCCTTTGTCTAACACGCCCACTCCCCCCACCCCCACGCCCACCCCATGCCACATGCAAAAGCACCAAATCGGGAGAACAAGGCTGCTTGCCGTTGCTCACCTTATTTTTGATAAAAAAATCAAAAAAGTCTAGGAGATAGAATTTTCAGGAATTGCTCTAAATCAGATGGGTTTAGGCTGTCATGTATCTGGTTATTTTAGGCCCTAAATGTCCAGGAAGCATCGTGAGGGGATTGAAATGTTTGTGTTTCATGTTCAGGGGGAATGTGTTAAGCAAAAATTACTTCTCAAATGATGCCCAAGTCCTGCATTAACACCTCAACCTCCCCCTTTTTAAAAAATAGTGTAAAAAAGAAGAGGTTCATCTAACTATAAAAGGAAAAATGAAGGCACATGATTTTATTCGGTCCCACAATCCTTAAGAACAATGCATTTTGTAAGTTTGTGTGTGGGCGGCGCATGTGTGCGTGTGCACACACATGAGATGGGAGTCCAAGGGCCTTTGGGGCAGTAGTCCAAGGAAGCTGGAGAAGGAAGACAGGAGAGCATTCTGAGACAGAGAGAAGAAAGGAGAAAGGAGGAAATGGAGGCCTCTCTTCAGCTTTCTGTCACTGACAGTCTCCAGATTGGGCTGCTTTAGGGTCCAGAGTGGAATTCGTTTGTCTTGGTCTAGAAAGTTCCCCCAGTTAAATATCTCCAGTTAATCATGTTACAGCTTATGGTGTTTCCCTTTTCCCTTCCCTCCAGCCAAATGATTTTCTTAAAAATCACAGTTTTTAAAAATTATTTTTTCAATGTTGAAAAAATACGGAAAAGCTATTGAACAGCCTTCAGGCACTCTGCCTCTCCATCTTCACAGTGAGCAGCTGGATGGACAGTCCACAGATCCAAAGACAAGGCAGGCAAGATCCCTCACGTGCTGGGCCTTGCCCTACCTCCAGTGCTGGGAGGGCCTTCACTGCTTCCCCAGCCATTTCTTTCAGCTGGATCCCTCCTCCCCTGCCCCATCCATGGAATGGAATGTGGGCTGCTGAGAAAGGCAAAGCTATTCTGGAGACCACAGTAAGGAAGGGCTTAGAAGCCCAGGGTGGAGGCCACAGGAGTCTCTCTGCTCGGGTGGCATAAGCAGCGTGCTCCTGGGGCAGCCCTGCTGCAGGATGGGACAGAGCAGTTGCCCACAGAGAGGCTGAAGTCCCACTCACGTTGACTTCCTGAGATCTCAGAGGTCAGGCTCACCACCTTGATGCCTCTCTTTGCACCCGAGTTGGCCCCCCGGTCCTTATGAAGGCAATGATCTAAGATGGAGAGGCTGAGCCGAGGGGCTGTGTCATACAAAAAAGGGCTACGGACAGTGGGATTTCAGAAACAAATTTAACTTTGGTTTTCTGACTTTTTTAACCGTAAAAATTAAAGCAGGGTTTCAGTGGCTTAGATCATCTGACAGCTGTTAGGTTTTACTCATTTGGCAAGGCTAAGGCAGGAGGGAAGAGAAAAGGGGTTTCCCATAACTGGTCGAAGACACAGGGTGGTAAAATGCTTCCACACTTAAACTCACAGTCCAGTGTTTTTGACATTTCATAAATAGCTTTTTTTTCTCTAAAAAAAGAATAAAACAAGAACAATCCCTTTAGTTACTCATCTGAAACAAAATAAACAGCAGTGGGTACAAACTTCTTCTTGTAACAATTACAAAAAACAACAATATAATCCCAACTTTTAACACGCATCTTGAATCAGTTATTTTTTTTTAACCTCAAAACTGCAGCATATCCTTAAGGGCAAACTTTTCAATTAGTTTTTTTCTTTTTTTTTTAAATAATGTCTTCACCAAAAAAACAGTCTTGTACCAATAAAATGCATTCAAAAATAGAAAATTATTACACAACAAAAATATGTATCCTTCCTTTCCAAAAAAGATTCTTCACAAAAAAATGTAGAAAAACTTCCAACAATTTTTTTTTTCCTCTCCTAAACATTAACTTTCAGTCTAGGGCACAGTTATATTTATTGATTTAAATGTTTGTTTTTGCATAAAACATGGAAGATGCAAAACGATTACTGTATTAGGATTGTGAAGTTACATCCTCTCCCACCCCTTCGCTAAAACAAAACAAAACCAGAAAAACCCAGCAAACTGTTAAATGAAAAAGCCAGTGGGCTGAGAAAAGCGTGTCTCTTTCCTTTCCTTGTGCATTTGCACAGGTTAGCTGGCTCTGTTGGTGTCTGGGAATGTTAAAGAAGGGAGATCAGGTAGGAGTCAAAAAGTTCTTCAGCTTTAGGGGATGTTCACATGAGTCATTTACAGTCTCTCAGGTCGCAGGACTAACTGCAGCAAGTCCTCATGGAGAAAAGAAACATGTGAAGTAGTACGTGGGCAGACACTAAACCGTGTCCACCTATGTTCAGTACACATGCCTCTATACAAGCCACTTTCTCATTGCACTTTTTTTCCCCTCAGAATGGAGCTCCAGCATAGGATAAAAGGCAACGGAGCACTCCAATGGTATGAGGAAGGCTGGGGTTATTTCCTCACAGTCACCTCTCCCGCTTTTCACATGTGTGGGCATTAACGGGGACAATGACCAAATCTAGGTCTCAAAGGAATGCCCTATTTCTCCATCCCCACTGAACCCAGATTTCTTTGATATTTTCAGCATTGTAGCTTAAATGACGTCTTTTTTTCTTATTTGATGGTATTTCTCTTCCATGTGGGATATATTTTGTATGTGTATTCCGTATATATAGATTTCTTTTCATAGCTTTTTTTTTTCCTGTTGCTTAATTGATTGCTGGTTTTTTCTTTGTGGTTTTTGTTCTGTTTTGTTTCTGATTTTTTTTAAACAGTGAAATGTGTCCAATTTTATTTCCAGTGCATTAAACAAATTTTAAATTAAAAGAAGAAATAAAACCTTTCCCCATCCTTCTAAAGGAAATGACTGATTAAAGTACAATATAATAAAATCAGGCATTGCCAAAAATAGCATGATGTGCAACCTCAATTACATCAAAGAAAAACAAACAGACAAACAAGAATTAAAGAACATAAGCATGAAGGAGCCAAGACTATATAATCCCAACTATGGTATGATTGGCAAGCACTGGTTAAAAAATAGGTAAGGCTACTCTTAGATTTCTAACTCAACATAGTTAACCACTGCTCTTCTGTCTTTTCCTTCAACTCTTAATCTTTTACTCACTAGTTCTTTATATCTTTAAAATGAACAAATTTGTTTTTATATTTTTGGTCTACAGTAGAATTACATATTAATAATATAATAAAAAGATATTTCATTAACAGGTTGGTACTGCATCCATGTGGGGAGAATAGAAAAAAAGTACTCAAATAGACATAGTAAATGGACTCTATTCTTATAAAAATAACCACAAATATAATAGAAATTATAATCAGGGCAACAGTTTAAACTGAAAACAGGTGTAGAAAGATATATTTTGGGTAATACAAACTCCTGACAATCTGTGCCCTAGAACTGCAACCTCCAAATCCTTCCAGTGATCTCCACCATTCCATAGGATCACTCAAAATTCAAATGGAAATGGAAACAAAATGAAAATAAAATGGACGGGCTGTTGAGCCCACCAAAGCTCCCCAGCTTTTTTAGTTGCCCAGTCAAGACCAGGTACAAGCATTTGAGAAACTGGTGGGCCACAGGGGAGACGCTGGTGGTGTCTGGTTTTAGTTTGGGAGGAGTTCCCAGCTCACTGATAAAGAGAGAAACCAAGAAACCAAATCATTCTTCTGGTGACATCTAATACATGAGATGAAAGGTAATTCTGACAGAGCAGACGTGGAGGTGAGGTGGGAAAAAGAAAGGAATGAGAACGGGACAACATTTGGGTGCCACCTGCCTTTGTTTCTTCCTCACACTGGTTTCCTTCTCTTTCCGAGCACCCTTTAGGATTAGCTACAGACCCTAGTGTCCTCTGAGCAAATCTGTATCAGCTCAGCTCTCTGTCTGCTATCTGTGCTATTTGGTCTTCATAAGAGCTGGTTGGCCCTGGAGGATCCCTGCCCCACTACTCCATGCCCTGATGAAGCAGAGTAGGGGGGGCAAAGTTATACTGACAGAGGCCCTTAATGTTAACCATTCCTATCAGATGGTTAATCCACACTGATGTTTCAGTGTGGGAAAAAATGGGAAGGAAAAGAATTGACAAGAGTTGAGTTTGGTAATCAACAAGTATGAAGTTTACTTCCAGAAAAAAAGAAGAAGAAATGGCATTTTTCACAAAATACTGCTTTTGGTTTCTTTTAACTTTGAACTATCCTTGGTTTTTCTCTCATTCAGTTGCTCCAGTTTAAAGTAGAGTTTAGAATCTAGTGCAAATATCATCAAATCACATCATTCCAGGAGCAATATCCTGTCCCTTCATCCTAAGTGAGGACTATCCCTTCAGACCGCCTCCAAAAACTGGGGGAGATGGTCAGGAGAGCCTAACCAGACAAATTATTAATCTCGTACTCACCACCACAAGAAAGGCACCATCACAACACATCAGCCTCAGCATTTTCCTTGCTGTGGGCATGGACACCTTAACCACTCCAGCAACCACTATGAAACCCAGACCGTGGCTTTTTCAGTACTTGAATTCATTGGCCAGGTGTCTGACTCCCCCACTTGCCCCTGCTATTGGCTCTGGCCATGCACAGCACTCTGTGTCTGTGCTGGCCCTCATTTCCCTATGGTCCTTGTTTGGTTCTAACTGACTGAGCTCACTCTCTCCCATGGAAGTTTCTTTCTCTCCATCAGTCTCCAGGTCATGACTCTAATAAGACTAGTTTTCAGTGTCAGGTACTATTATTTATTTTGTCCCTGTTTTTTTAAACCTCTGACCAAACCCTAAGTCAAAAAGACAGTTCAGTAGCACCTCTAGCAAGTCTCCTATAAGTATCATTGTGAAGAGAATGAAAATCAAAGGGTCATCCCTTGACCACCGAAGCATATCCCTTGAGCTTGTTATATTACTTTTGTCTGGGAGAGAGGAGATTGAGCTCCAGGGATTAAAATCTTTGGTGACATAACTGGAATGGGTCTGCAAGTTTCAAGGAAGGAGTTGTTTTTCCAAAGCCTCAAGTGAAGTCTCCTAGGACAGTTAATGGGAACATATTTTAAAAGGTCAGTTATTTCTTTCTATAGCTTTGGTTTGGCGCAGTCAATATCCTCTTAGTGCTTACCCAATACACATCTGTAAGTACCTATTAAGAGCTCTGAATTTAGAGTTTCTTATTTAAAATTGAGATAATGCTTTGAATGCTTAAGGGATTGCTTGTGTTAGTTCTGAGAGCTTGAAATGGGTTTTTCTGACTAGCAAGGCTGACAGCTTCCTTAAAAATTTTTTGACTTGTAATAGGAGACTTGGATGGATGCTAAGGAGGAGAGAGAATGAGATATTGATGTTGAATCCTAGGAAAGAGGCCTCAACTGAGGGTCTTCTGAATGGCTGCCCCCACATTGTGGTGACATTCAGAGAAATCCAACACCAGCCATTTGCACGGGTTGTGACCCTTTCTTACTGAACCAGTCTTCCATGCTGTTGCCTTGGATTCTGGAATAGTCCTTCAGCATCTTCACTCTTCGGTTCTTAGTTTCTACATAATCTATTGCTTTTTCTGTGGTGCAATATTCTTTTATTCATAGTCACTAAAAAGCTGTCAAACTCAACTACTTCTAAGATTTAAAAAGGCAATAAAAATAAATCCAAAAGAGAAAAATTGAAAAAAAATCCAACAACTTCAAAACTAAACTTTTAGGCACTGTTAAGTTCTTCTGCTTAATTAAGATAGTCTATGACGGAGCAGCTAGTAAGTAGGCTCTGATCGATCCTGCCACCCTTCCTTCGGTCTCAAAGTTGGCCTAGCTTGTTTGAAAACAAAGCTTTCAGCTCACTGGTTTTCAGTGTTTATTGCACTGTTCCCTTACTGCCATCTTAAAGGATTTTACCACCTGCCTGGCCTTCCTCTTTGGTTCGCCTGATCTAGGTTTACCCAGGGATGGAAAAGCATGCTCAGGCCGAGAGGCTATCTCCACTAGGGACAAGGTCAGATTTTGCTGGGAAGGAGGACATACCACAGTCACCTGCCACGCTGGAATGCGCATGAGCAGAGGGCTGGCCGGCGCAGGCCGAGGCGGGCTGCCTCACCGTCACACCTCTTCCTGAAAGCCTAGCTGGAGACAACAATGGTGAGCTTCTTACCGTCTTCAATCTACTGTACTGACACAGCTTCTTTGAAAAACAAAATAGATGCTAGCAGCACGGCAGTTTCTAGGCCTGATCAAGAGTCAGCAGATTTCCCAGATTCTCACCAACTCGGCTAAGACCAAACACGATGGAAATAACCCTCCATGTTTGTGATGCTTCTAGTTTCCTAACTTGCCTCCTTCTCCCCCACCCTCCTAACACACTCCCCTGGCACACGTCAGGACATCTCAGTAGTGCAGTGCAGTGCAGTCATATTTAGTGCAAAAAAAAAAAAAAAAAGCTCTACAACAGACCCAAGCTCAACTCCTAAACAGCTCTGACTAAAGGTTACCAGTGCCCCGAAGTGGGGAATTGAGTCTTGACCTCACGCTTCTGTAAGCCAGTCATCTCTTGCATTGCCCCTGTTGGTTTCAGCTCAAAGGAGAGAAATAACTAGCACGCACCTATGTGTTATTGTTTTAAAACATTAAGTCTGTAGGCAGAAAATAAAGGAAAGTAGGTGAGTTGAAACCAGGGGTAGTATTTAGAAGAGGAAAATAGCTATTTAATGCAAAGGTCAGTAGTGGTTTTTATTGAATGGTTTTCATCATGTCAAATGGCTCCGGTGCTGAAGGGAATGAGTACAGAAAAAGATAAAGCTTTTCTGTTTCCCAAGATATGACCCTAAATTTAACAGTGCTGGGCTCTTATTTTTGAATAGTGCAATCAGCTATTCTTCTAGGGCTGCAGGCAGCAGCCACCTTACTTAACATAAATAGGGACACTAGAAGCACTCACTTCTTTACACTGACCACCCTCTCCCTCCCCTCCTTACTCTCCTCCCCACTTTTTTTTTTCTGACTACACATAAATACAGATCTACATACACATACACAGAAATTCACAAGGCCCCTCTCAGGATGATTGAAAATTGGTACAAATAGCTCAACAGCACACTCACATAAAAAGTACAACTATTAAATATAAAAGTGAATTATTACATCAAAATTAAAGAGTCTGCATTGTACCTCTTCTTGTATTATTCTGTAAGAAAAAAAAACATTCATAGTAGGATATCTTATGGAGCCTACTTCTCATTTAAGATTAATCTGGAATTGGTTTGGGATACTGTAGTATTGAGTGATTCTACAGAAATGCTTTGCATTTGATAATCCTCAAGAATCAATCCCTTCATTTTGTCTGGGTCTCCACTCTCCAAATGTAAATCTGTCTGTCCGCTCATACCCACCACACATGCATGCTGGAAGTCTCAGGAGTCTCAATACTTAGTGTAGAATAGATTATTGAAACAGGCATTTCGCATAGTGGAGTCAACACCCTCAAACTACTTTCAAATGTAAAGTTACTATACATTTTCTTTATACTATCAACTTCTTGACTTTGTTTGCCATGATGAAGAGACCCTGCTTTCATTTACTCTGAAAACCACAATTCTTTCAACAATAGTGCAAAAAACAATGTTAGTTAGAAATATGAAAATTACCCTTAATTTGTATCTCAATTGGCCTCTCAAGAAAACTGAGGTTCAAATCAGTGGGATGAAGGAAGGAATTTAACTGCTGACTATGCCTTTGAAAATTTCCTCCTGCAAAGCTACGTAAGAGATGGTTCCAAATCAAAGTTGGTCCCAAGGAGAGCAGGAGAAGAGTTGACTAGATATATTTTTCAAAGAACCCTTTGGCAGTGAATGTACACAAAGCGTCTAGATTATGTCTAAATCTTGTATTAAATTTGAAACCATTATTTTATTTTCAGTTATCTCTCTGCATATGCCCTGGAGAGAAAATTAGATATAGGAGCAATCAAGGGTTTCTACAGTTTCCCTTATATGGTTTTGATAGTTATTAAAAGAAGTCTTAAGTCACAAAGAAGTGAGGTTATCTTACTAATTCTCAGGACTGTAATAGTGAGGATGGGCACGAACGGCAAAGGGTGAGCAGCGTTAACTTTAGCTGGTGACCCTGAGAACTGGCCTTAGGAATCCAGAACTGTATCAAATTTAGTCCTATCACATTGTCCTGTCTCTCCTCTTTGCTTTTCCTCTGTTCACTTAGTTGACATTGCAATTATTTTAAAGATTGAGCAAGAATGCGAAATATAGCACAAAAGACAGGTTATAAAAAGGTTGTCAGGCTATCTGTAAATTGAGTTGAAAACAGTATGCTTTCAAATGAAGCCCTATAATTTCCTTCTTAAAAAGTTTCTAATTGGGTTTTTCTTTCCCTGTCTTGGGGGTGGGGGGTATGGGTGGGTGACAGATTGGCAATGCAGTGCTCATCTCCCTCTGTGACTATCGCTTCCAGTGCCAGGTGTGGGAGATAAGAAGTGATGGAGAAGCAGATGTTTCTCTTTTTAAGATCTCACAAACATGTACAAGTTTGAAATGCATAGAAAAGAAATTGGAACAATTGTAGAAACCTATAAATCAATTGGTTTTGACATTTTAGGAGCATTCTTTTTTTTCTTTCCTGGGTATTCTGCACTAGATATTAATAAGAAACATCCAAATAAGTTTTTCTTTAAATTAATTAATTCCTAGCCTTACTGCAACACCTTGAGGAAGCAATAAGGATTTGTAGTGTAAAATGCATGACCTTCATCTGCCATCAATTCCCATTCTTTGGCCCCAGACTGGTTAGTTTAGGTAAATAGGGTTTCTTTCTCAAGGAATAGTTTTTATATTAACTCTTTTACCCTGAAAATGCAGAGAGAATTTCTCTTCTCAAAGCTGTCAAGTGCTACTTGAAAAGGAAGAAAAGATTTTCATGGAGAAAAGACTCATGAATAGTAGAATGGAAGGCTCTTCATTCTAAGGGGAAAAGGAGGCTGATAAGGGTGGGAGGTTATGTGACTGATGTTTATGGCCATGGACCGTATCAAACTGAAGGATCAAAACCTTTCACTATATTGAGAAGAAAGAGACAAAGGAAAACAAGCAAATCAACAAACAAACTCTACTAAAATACACATTCCTCCAGTTTCAGGTTTCTAAAAACTAATAATTATGTTTAAATCAAGGTGTACAGATAGCAAACAACTGTTTTAATGTGTAAAAGTATTATCCCTTTGCTTTACTATGTTAGTTTCACTTTCTTTGAAGGAATTGCATCTGTGCACACTTGTCCTAAAGTCCAGTGCAGAAAATAAACTGGTTTGCTACCAGCCTCAATCTCAGAACATTTGCTAAGGTATATTTGCAAATCCTAAAACTAAGTAACTGTAAAATGAGATGCAGATTTTCTGAAATACACTGTGGTGGGAAGGGGGAGGGAAGGAAGCAAGCTTTTTATGGGGGAAAAGAAGAAAGAAATCCCTTCTTGTCCTCCCAAATACATACTATAATGGTTTTGACCATTATTTTGCTGCATTAGTTACTGTTAGGGCGATTGGTGCTCCTGACAGCTGTCAGCTTAGAAAAGCAGGAGGCTCATAAGCAACAAGAAATTCATATCCTGGAGTCTCTAGAATAGTAAACAGGATTTAGACATTAAACTGGACTAATGCAGAGGTTGTGGTGAGAAATCCTGAATATCAGGGCTAGAACTCTTCTCGGGGAACTAGAAGGAATGAGGTCAAGAAAGCATCCTGGAGAAATCCTTGCTGGACCAGATGGGACCTATCAGAACTAGATCCTCTCCACGCTGCACTTAAATGATAGTATTTAGGATTTAAAAGAGTCTTTTATTTCTTCAGAATCCAATGTCTGAGAAGAGTACTTTTGAGGAGAGTACTTTAAAAAAAGATGGAGTCGGAACGGACAAAGGAAGAGAAGGAGATAGGATTGATTAGGAGAACAAACCAAGTGATCGCACTCTTAAGCATCATAAATACTGACTTTAAGAAATGTTGATTTCCTACTAGAGGTGTGATTCAGGAAGGCTTTTGAACCCTCTCTTTATCTCACTGCTGTCTGCAGTGGGAGCTGATGTTATTAGCTGGTTTGATTAAGATGAAAGCTAGGTCAGGCCTCAAGCCAAATTAAGAATAGATTTCTGATATTAAACATTGATTCTGTTTGTCAGTGGGTAAAGCAAGAAATGAAAGGATATGCCTGCACACAGAACCAGGTAACACTCTATATGCCACAGAATCTGTCCTCATAGGAGACAAAAGGCAATGCAAGAGAGTTGGGCTAGGAAAGACTACTACAGGGTTGCTGTTAAGATCAGGTTATGATCATCCTGTAAAGGGACAGATATAGAGTGGTATCAGTCTTTTAGGCAATGATCTGGCAGCCGGACAGTTGTAACTCATTGAAATAAGATGGTCAGATTATATGGTGAATATTAGATACTAAGGAGTGTATTACATGGTCTTTCAAGTATTTTTCCAACTCTATTATTCTTTCATTTAAACACACATTAAGTTTACATTTTAAAAAGAGCTGGTTGCAAAGTAGAAACTTTAAAAACTTTATAGATATTTTCATCTCTTAGTAAACTGCTTAACATCCTAAATCAATAAAGAATTATTTTTTTAAAAGGTAATAAATGATAAAAATTCTTCTTGTTTCCTATAATGTGTTTGAGTGGAAGTAGCTTTCCTTGTTGTAGAAGAGCTCAATTATGCTGGAGCAGTTACCAAGATTATTTTGAAATGGTATCCCTTTTGTTAGATTTCTATAAATCTAATACCTGGTAAATACATCATTCAGCTAAATATTTGCAGGAATTGAAAGAATTGACATTGATGACTTTTTTTCTCCCTCAGAAATGGTCTACTCATATCAGGAATTTGAACACTGTGGTATTTAAAGAAAAAAAAAACCAGAAAATATTTTTCTCTTTATCTTTGGCCAAATGTAAAGGTGAAAGGAATTAATGACCTCAGCTAGTACAGTTGACATTTAAAACTGTGACTCAGGGCCTCCCACTCTCAAAAGTATATTGATAACTTCTACAATAAGAGGTTTAAAGTAGTCTTAGAGAGAAACAAGAAATAAAGGGAAAGGCTTAGCAAGAGAAAAGAGGAAAAGAATAAAGTTGGTACAAGCTGGGGATTACCTGATCCCTTGGAAGAGGAACAGCCCCACTACCTTCCAATGTACAATTATGTCTGTCCTGTTGAGATGTATTTAGTTGACATATTGTCAAGGCAATACTGGATAAACAAATTGATAATTTTGCTATTAGACTCGATATAAGTTAGCCCTTTCAAAGTAGACTGGAGGAGGGAGTTCTTAGTGAGTACCAGACTTCACAAGTGGAGGGCACTGAGAGGGTAAGGAGGGTGGGGAGGGACTTGGGCAGGGGCACAGTCGAATGGGATGGGATTTGAAAATAAAAACATACTAGGAAAGATGCAGGCTAGGAATTGGTGTTATTTACATTGAGAAGCATTAATTTTGGTCCAGTGTGGGAGGGTTTTCACACTGGGGATTATGAACACATTTTCCTTTCGTCCTGAATATAGAACCAAGAGAATGAGACTGGCTTTAGGCACCCAGGATGGATGTAAGGTTAACCAGCTGTGGAGTTTTCCAGCATTAGGTTGAGTAGCTGGGGAAAGCTGAGGAAACTCTTTATCTGAAGATGCTATTTGAAAATATTTCTTGCTAGGAAGACAAGATACCTAATTTCTGAAATTTCCATGATGGCCTGATCAAAGAAGAAAGGCAACAAACCCCCACATTAACAGGCAAATGGAGATACTGAGGGCCAGATACCCACGAGCCACCATTTCATGGATTCAGCAGACTGAAAAATGAGATTACATATTTCTGAGTTCTATTTCCATCAGCTTCTGTCATGAAAAAGTTCCTCAAACTCTGGTTTTATTTTAAAAATCTCATAGGAAAATGAGTATTCTATTGCCAAACTGCCTCCAGGGAAGGACTGAAGACTAGTTAAAATTATCATAAGCATATTAAAAACAGACAGTAGTCAATAAAAAAACTATTAAAATCAGAGTTAGGGACAAGTTGAGACAACAGGCATTTCACTGCCCTAAGCTTCTCAGATGAGCAGCCCTTTCTTTCAAATGCAGCCTCTAATTGTTGGTTGGACCATATAGGGTAAGCAGCCCCCTGGTCATATTTTAAATTCAAATATAGACAGTGACAGTCCGAGAGGGGAAATCACAGATACATTCATATGCACTTCTTTTGTTCTTCAGATACTGAGAGGGTCAGCTAAACAAGATCACTTTGAATATGAACCTCTTTGTATTGCCACACCAAAAAAAAAAAAAAAAAGAACCATTTTCTTAAAAGTTAAGTTTTCACTTTCCTACATGTGTTAAGTCTGAGCTCTTAAAAAAAAATCTATAATCCTATAAAGACAATACTGAAGCTGATAGTATAAAAAGCAAAATAGAGCAGTAATGATTATTATTAAATGCACCAGATTAACTGCAGTGGGTTGGTGATGGGTGATAAATGCAAAGAACCAATATTTCAATCAACTCATGTCATAGGCAGAATTCCAAAGTTAAAATGAATATAATGTAATATATATTTCAATATAAACTTATTATATATAATGTGTATGTTCTAGCTTTCAGAAATACTGCAATGTAGTGTACTGTACTTAAGTAAGCATACCTAAATAGTAACTCATATTCCACAAAGTCACTAGAACTGTTAATTAAAAAAAGACAAAATCATTATTTTTTCCAGTAAAAAGAAATACCTATGGTTACAGTCACAGACTTCTTTTGGATATAGAAAGACAATATACATTTTTAAAAATAGTAACAACAAAAAGATTGCAACTCTAAGTAGCCTTACTTAAGGGGGGAGGCAGAAAGTCACCAAAATAGAAGAGGAAAGAAAATGTCCTCTGAATTCTGTAAATTAGCAGAAATAATCTACATGTCATAAAAAGTAATAAACCATCTAGAAAAAGAAGGGCATGGGAGTGAAAAAGCTGAATCCCAACTGTTTCCAGGCCACCTTTCAGAGTCAACTATAAGAGCCAGGGCCATTTGTTCAGGATTGTACATGAGAATGGCATTCTACTCTCACATTAGAGATGGGCAAGAGCCATGCATTTGTAGAGAATTCCAAAAACTATTCCCTCGAGTCTATTGGTTTGCTAGACATGGTAAACAACTCACTCCTGGAAAGACTTCGGCAAAGGCCACATTGGTTTCAGGAGACACAGTCTGTGAATCACGATGATGTCCTGCAGATGTAGACAGGACTGGGAATCTTTAGTTTGGGAGTAAAATGTACAAGTGGGTGGCTGTGGCTGTTCGTGTGCACACACTGGGTTGCATAGAGGAAAGGAATGGAGGCCTTTAAGCCTCGGGCTGGCTTAGGCCAAAGTCTGTACAGGCCTGCCTGGCCTCAGTGCTCCCTCCTCCGCAAGAGACCCAGACTGCTGCTCCCCCTTGTCTGCTCGCCAGTTGAGTACTTCTGTTTTACCTTCTTTGGGAGGAAAACAGCCTGTCACTGTAGGTTTGCTGTGGATCCAACAAGCTGCCTTTGTTTCTCCCAACTCTGAAATGCTACAAAAAGCAACAGAGTGGGCAGGTGACTGCTTCCTGGGAAGGGTGCCACAAGTCTTGAGCACAGTGGTGGGAAGAGGCAACCGTATCTATGCTCCAGGGCCAATGCCTGTGTGTGCTTTGAGACACGCACCCTCCTCCCTGCCAGGACTACTGGTAAGCATGCAAACACACACGTGCGCACACTGGTAAACCCAGGAGAAGGGCAGAGTTTGTTAAGTGTGCTCTACTCCACACAAGCACATTCAAGTTTCTCATGAAGGGGGCAAGGAGAAAATGACTGACGGTTAGGCCCCTTCACAATGCCCTAAAGCCTCAGCGCACCCTGTGGACGGCATTGATGCGCCAACTAAGGCAACAGAACAGAATAAGGTATGTGAGACCTTTGACTAATCAGAAATTTCAGAATCTACCCTGTTGTCACTGGCGAATATGAATGTGTTACAGTTTTGCACTGAGAGCACCTCGCCTTGCCTGTGTACCTGTGTAACGATTCTCATTTACAGACATTTGGGACAGCAGCTGTGACAAACTAGATGGGTTAAGTCCCTTTCATGGCTAGAATCTATATACAAATTGCAATGATTTTGCTGGGCAGGAACAAATTGCTGTTGCAACATTAGTAGACACAGGTGTCTTCTATGGGGTTAACTTCTTTTTTTTTTCCCTATCTTGGGTGTATCAGAATCTCAGCTAGGCATTTTGAAACAAGGAAACCTCTGAATTTGAAAGAGGGCTAGTTAGGGGACTTTTTACCCCTGAATTAGGTATCTCAAAAGCCAGGACTCCCATAATGGTGGTTAGATTTTCCCTATGATCTGCAAATTATTCTCCATCATTGGAGAGTTGAAAGTTGTGAATTTGCATTTAAACAAAGAACCACCAGACAAACCAGATGCTCACTAAACCGAGAAAAAAAAGCTTAGTGATACACACTGTACAGGGAAAGAAAGCTTCTTGTTGAGATTGTTCTCTCTGTGAAGGAAATGATCAAAAGTGGCATCCCAGGTACCTATGATCCTGTCTTGTGGGATTCACTATTTAGCTAGTGTGATGTCTGTTTTACATCCAGCCCAGATTTAGGCCACTGAAAAAGAATAGGAAATAGCAGCCACTTCTTGAGAGCAGCCAGTTCCAGGCAAGCTGGGTACCTCCCCCAAAAGTCACTGTTTCCATCGTCTTCATTTATGAATAGGGCTCATTTTTGTGATAATGCAACCATTAAAGAGCAAGAAATGTCCACGTCTTCACACCCTTCCAATTTCTCTATCTTCTGTCCTCTTCCCTGGGCTTTCTGATTTAAGGTAATAATTCTTTCCTCTAAGTGGCTTCTTGTGAAAATACTTTTAACAGAGGTCACTTCAGATTAGATTTTAGTCTGAAAGCATTCCGTTTATGGAGCCACAGGCTGAAAGCCTGAAGAACCACTGGAATCTGGGTCAGTGGTGTGGAAAGACGACGCTTCCTGTTTCCACCCAGGGCACTTTTAACCCTCCTGCAGTGAAACATACTTCCCCTGCAAAGCAATTGAAACAAACCCTTGTGTTTCACACCATCTTCTGGGATCTGTTAATGTACACCTGCTCATGTGGCAGCTATGGAATCAGTGTTAAAGGAGAAAAAACTGATCAGAGACTTAGAAAAATCTCTGGAGTATTTTGGTTAGGCTAATCATCCTAATATCTAGTCCTAGAAACGATGCTTTGGGTCAGTAGTTCCCACCTTCTGGGGGTCCAGAACACTCAGTGAGTCATCACAACTTTCCTTCTTGTGGAGGGTTCAAGCAGTATCAATAATGGCAACTGTCAGAGAGCCCTTGGGAATAGGAAAACATTTTCTCTCTAAAGCAACAGCTCTTCTGTGCCCCTTGTCTCTGTGTGCAGCCTCGGCACCAGGCTAGAGACTGCTTTTGAAAGTTTGCCCCATGTAATCTATTTCCTGGGCACCTAAGAGAACAGCCCTTTTCTCCATGAAAACACAGAGAAGAGAAAGAAGCCGCCACCGTCCCAGTTGGAGAGTTGTGTCCAGCCTCAGAAAGGCCCATTGGCTGGGCTCTTAGCACGCTGCAGATGGAGAGGCACTGGATTGCCTTGTTTTTTCTATGGAATTAGGGGGTCTATTGAAATCCTAGCATGCCCTTCCTTTTGTTAGTCACCAAGTCACATGGTTCTGTCTTTAGTGTCCTATTTTATTCTGTTAATTTCTTTCTCTGGGGGACAAAACTGGCCATTTAAATAAAGTTCTTTTCTTGTGAGTAAAGAGGTTTCTCAGAGCCAGAAATCACTCAAAAGAGAGTCTGTCAACCCTACCCATGGAAAAGCCCAGACGTTTCTCTAAACCTCTCGCCAAACTTGCTCGTATTGTGATTGGATGTTTTTCGGTTTCACACTATTGGGTGCTGAATACTTTGCAAACCCTTTGTTCTCTCCCCCAGGGCTTCCATTACCCCAGACTTCAACTCGTTACTAAATTAAACAATTCTTTCAGAAGATTTCTTTTAAGAGTCAGGTCACAACAGAAAGGGCAGGCTTCCTCGTCCGAAATCCCAAGGGCATCTCAGGTTGTCTGCTCTTCCTCCGCACCTTCCTTTTGGGTCCTTTTCCTCCGGGGCTACAGCAGAGGCAGCCCTGATCTGCATCTCTGATCTGATACCTTTGCTGAAGAATCACATGTCCTCTGTTCTCAGCCCTAACTAATTAAATAACATCTTCTACAGCAACAGAGGAAGGCTCCAAACCTACTTCCTTACCCCTTTAACTCAGAGCAACAGTGTTGGGAGTTTTATGGAGGAGCCACAACTAGATACAAGCCTTCATTATGTTCTCTCGGGGCCCTGAGGGATTTAATAAGGGGCACATCTCATTTTCAATTTCTGTGCTGAGGGAAAACAATGATTCGGGGCCTAGGCTGGCACACATTCTTTGTGTGCTTGTGTGACAGAAGTACATGTAGGTCAAGGCATTAGGACTTTCGTGAAACAGACACACCCAGAGGAAACCTTTACTCTCTTCATATCAGAGTACACAAATTCTAACTGTTCATGGGTTGGAAAGGGTTTTCTTGGTCCTTATAGCGTACTGGGATGATACAAAATAAAACCACTATGACTTTTAAACAAAGCAAATCTGCCTTTTTAAGGCCAAGAGCTACAGTGACCCCTAAGATGCCTGGGAGGGAAGAATGGACTGCAGCGGAACATGAGCAGGGAATCTTACTCATGGCACAGATTCAGAGCATTAGAATTTGGGGAGGAAAATGTCTATAAAACTTACTTCTGCTCAAGGTAACAACTCAATTAAAATGCATAGGAAAAAATATCTTGATATAAAGACTGATTTTCACTTCATATTTTTTTTTGTTTCTCAATCTTCTCTCATATGTAGATTTGTATCAGATCTATGTATTCTATCTCCTTCCTTTTTTTAGGGCTATATTTTTTCAGGCTATATGTGGGTATGTTTTGGGTACAAATATTGGCATTATGTAATTAGGGGGAAAAATCCACTATACTGAGATGCTACCAATGTTTTTAGTGCTAAGAAATTTTATTTTACATGAAGTATGTAAACATCTTGAGATAAATATTTTCCTTTAACTTTTTTCCTTTCTCTTGTTCAGCTAATTGAGGCTGAAATCATAAATTGCTAAAACCTACCAATTCTTGTTCCCTGTATTTCTCCTAAGAGTCTTACATCTGGAACATTCGCTTTCATTTTTATCTATTCTTTTTTTTTTAGCTTGGCTACTGAAAAAAATTTTGTTTAGCACTTGTAAGCATCCTTGTATGAAGTTCTGAATGTATGAAGCTTGTTGGATTTGAAGTTAAAAGATAAAGGAATCCATGCTAGTTCTCTAGTCTTCAAGCAAAGTATGTTTCCTCATTTCCTAAGATGCTGGTGATTATTTAATTTGAAGGTAAGGATTGAGAAGCATCTCTAGCCTTTTGAAATAGGTACAGATAGGTTTATTTTCTAAAATGCAGGCCAGTTTGGAAAGCAGCCCTTTCAGATGCCCAAACATTATAGTAATGGCCCCACAGCAAGTTCATTGCTCTCTTAGACTGGATCTAGCTCTACATTACAATCTAGCTCTTCCTTTCTCCAGAGAACAATCTGCCAGTGATGTTAGATTAGGAGATGTTTGGGAGGAAGATATATACAGTAAGAAAAAGTCTACCACTATGCAAACCTGGACGGTCCACTTTTTTATAATGATTGCATCACCTCACCAAGAATTCTTTGGGAATCCTCAACATTTTTAAAAAAGATACTTCATTTGAAGGGAAAGCATGAATATTAGGATTTCAAACCCTACTGGAACTTCTTCCCCTACATGTTCACTAACAAAAGGTTTTTAACCTAATTGCCTAGCTTTTTATGTAGCAAAGCAGCGTTAGGCAAGTAAGTTTCCCTCAGATTTGAGAATCAGATAGTAAGTGGCCCCAAACGGCACTCAAGATCCACTTTTCTGGCAGTACTATAAATGTTGTCTACTTTGTTAAGGTTTGAATAAGAACACTATTTTAAATGAGCTACTGTTGAATAATTTAAAACATTTTAAAGTGGCTTTTGGCCTTCTCTCATTTATAACTTTATGCTGAGTGATTTCATGTCATTTTCCTCTAGATTAAAACATTTTTTTCTTAATGCCAATTTTTTCTTTTTGATATCATGGGTTGAATGGCTTTTCAAAATTTCAAAACAATTCCGTGACTTGGTTAATTAACTAATGCTCCCTCTGTTGGTAGTAAGTAGAAATATTAGAGTGTTACAACATTGCTATTTTTAAAGAAAATCAGCAAGAGAAAATGGATTTTTGAAATTTCTGAAGTTATTCCTCACCAACTGTTAAAACAAGTAAGTTTTGGACACATAGTTCTTGGCAGGAGTCTCTTTAGAAATCATGACGGGTGATACCCAATAGTCAACCATCCAAATCTACATGAACACTTTCAGCAAAACATTCACTGAACTGAGGGCCACAGGACCAGAACAAACTCACATGTACTGTAGTCGCATTAACCCTACTAAATATCACCAAGAACTCGTGGAAAAGATCCAAGTTATTAACCAATGTCTAGAATATATGAGTAAAACTGATGGGGTCATCAAAGAGTTCCTTCCTTTGGAAGATTTCTCATTTGTTGCAAAGACATTTTGAAACTAAAATACTCTCTTTGCTTGTTTCTTTAAATTGTAGTTGGGCATTCTGCTCTATTTAAAGATTTACTTTTCCTCTGAAGTGTGCTAAAATATGCCCAGCCATGAAATCACCTTTGGAGTTTTGAATAGACTTAAGAATTTTTCTACATTTGAGTTGGAATCCCTTCAGGACATGGTCTACAGGGGAAACACCTCTATGACAATACCTTGATCAGGACTGAGGAGAGAAATCCCAGCTAGGAAGAGAGAGTGGCCCCAAGGATGATGCAGGGGGTTGGTGGCCTTTTGAATGATGGATGTTGGCATCTGGGAAATTTTTCATTTCTTGAAAGCCTTTCCAAAAAGCAAAGGTTAATAAATCATCTAAGAACAACAGTCTTAATTTAGCCCTCTCAACCATGGTGGAAACAGTCAGAAGGTGATATTTGAAAGGAAGAAACTAATTTGGGCATCAAGGCATCCTGATCTGTTACAGGCTTCTGATAACACCACTCTCTGTAGTTGTGAAGGGTGAGGGAGGTATGGCGGTGGGTGTTGTGAACAACCCCTCCCGGCTGACCACAAAAGGAAGAACCCACTTGTCAAGACCGCTAGACCACTAGTGTTTCATCAGAGAAAAAAAGTAAAGTCAATAGAAAAGTCTAGAATAATAAGTCCCAATGAGTTTTTAGAGAAGCAAGAAAATTGTTGCTGAAAGATGACATCCCTCCCATGAAAAAGAACAGAATTCTAAATGAATCGATGGAAAGAAATATTCAGTGGAGCAACTCAAGCTTGCTAAAAGTCAAAGTACTACCTATGTAAATACAAAGCAGCAGTTCAAATTACAGCAGGGATGGGCTGGCCATAGAGGCCCTCATCAACCCAGGCAATACTTAAAATAATAAAAATTAAGAAAAATTAAAAAAAATATGAAGAAAATATCCTTCCTCTCTTTCAAATATAACTTTAATTGCCTTTTATTCTTTCTATCTGGAAGCAGTATCGCTAACCTTAACAGTCTTGACTTACCAAAAAATATATATATGTGTGTGGAATAAAATAAAAGAGAAGGGATTGGTGGCAGTGTATGCAAAACCAAAATGAAAAAGAAAAATTACTTTTAACAATCTCAACTTTTTTTTGTTTTTTTTTTACACAAATACTGTTGTAAATATATTAAAAAAATCAGCATTCTATCTGGTAAACGTCACTTTTGCCCCTCTATAAAATTTTGAATTAAAAAAGCCTCAAGAACTTTTTATTATTCCCCCCACCCTCCATTTCTCTTCTTTTTCTCTTCCACAAGAATATATCCTGACACTTTTTTTTGTTTTTTTTTTTGCAAAGATTGTTGGAAATAATCCTTCTCTTGTACCTAGAAACGTAGGTGCAAACCTCTGATATCTTTGTTTAATCTGCATTCCTGCCTTTCATGAAAGTCCCTCTTGATTGTGCTGAGGCTGTGGCTCAGCGAAGACACTGAATAAATACGATAGCCACTGTTGCTTGATGCTTGTCCGAGTCTTCCTGGCTTCTGCTGAGAGGGGGATATGGAGGAGGTGGGCCAGGGTGTGTGGGCCCCAGCAGAATCTGGGGGAGAAGCCTGCCATTCGCCTTTCCCACACCACCAAACCCACGGCCCCTTCCCACCCCCACAGCCCTTTTATGAAATCAGACAGTGTGGTAGGTGGAAAACAGCAGGGCCTTTTCCTCTGGGTTTCCAACCAGAAGTGATATTCCACAGTTTTAACTGGTTACTGTGAAGTCCAAGCGGCCAGAATTGTGAAAATGTCCACTGAAACACTGCAAGCGGTGTACTTAAAGACAGTAGGCCTTATAGATTTTGTTATATATTTTTGTAGTGCTCTTCACAAGTGAAAAAAAATTTTTTTTTAATTTTTTTTTTTTAAGATTTTTTTGTAAAGAAGGGTTGTATTTAGAGGCCAGTAGCTAGAGATCCAACCAGTGGACCTCTTGAAGCACTACCAGGCCTTAAGGCCACCATCCGAGGGAAGCTGGGAAAACTATTAGTCACCCAAACCTCCGGAAATGTAATGTACCAGCAGGCAAAAAACAGTTCTTCATGTAGTACAAAATGAAACGAAACAAAAACAAAAACATAAAGTAAAAACGAAACCAAAACATTTCTTAAATTCTAGTGCCATAGCTTTTTTTTTTGTTTGTTTCTTTGTTGTTGTTTTGTTTTGTTCATAAGAAAGAGAGAAAGGTACTACTTATCCGTCAGACACATGCATCCTCATGTGGTCGTTGAACTGCTCGATTTGGTCAAACTTTGCTGGACAGACGGAGCAGACGTAAGTGGTCCCCTCCGTACAGGCCACCACACCAGGGGGGCCAGAGCGGGCACCTGGGGGTGTACCCGCAGGAGGGGTCCCGTTGCTGGCGCTGTGCAGGGCCACGTGTCGTTCCAGGAGGGTCTTGTGGGAGAACTTCTTTTTGCAGATGTAGCACTCATAGGACTTCTCCCCCCGGTGGAGGCGCATGTGCACGTTGAGAGAGCTCTTCTGAGTGAAGCGCTTGTTGCAGATGCTACACTGGTACGCCCTCACCCCTGTGTGGGTCACCATGTGCTTGATAAGGTAATCCTTTAGGGAGAAGGAGCGCCAGCAGATGCTGCACTGGTGGGGCTTCTCGCCTGTTGGTGTGGGCGGGGACAGCAAGCAGGACAGAGCGAGACACAGCGAGGAGGGGGAAGGAGAGACAGAAAAGCAAGACGACAAAAAAACAAAAATGGCAAAATTAAAAAAAATGTCTGGTTAATGGATTCCCCTCAATGGGGAAGATCCAGTACATCCTGGCCTCTACTGTTCTGAGGTGCCTTGCTTTCAGGTGATGCCAGGACAGTCTAGGTTTCCGTTTCCTCATGCCAGATAGTAGCTCTCTTGGAAAGCTATGAGGTACCCCCACTAAAAGTCCCCAAAAGTCATTCTGTGGGAAAAAGGCAGGGCTACTTTAAGGGGGTCATTTTCAGGGTCCTCATTAGGGGATTAAACAAATCCATGTTAGAGTTCTTTGATAAAGTTAAATATAAGAAATAAGAGAAAGGAAAGATCTTTGGAGACATAGGGTTTTCTAAAATCTTTGGGAACTAAGAAAAGTGGTCACACAGTCATGCCCTTTGGGGTCAAGTCTCTATTTCCAATATTGTCTATTAAATACACTTAAGCCATGATTATAGGTCTGCAAAGTATTTGCCAACAGAGGAACAAGCCATTCTGAAGAGCTATACTTTGAACTGCAATTACTTTAGACAGAAACCGTTCTAAAATATAATTGAAAGAGTTGGTTGGCTATTCTGTCTCAACTGCACTGAGCTGCAGATTGGCCAGGTCTGGTGTGGAGGCTGAGTAGGTGGTGGACAACAAGATGATCTCAGAGTCAAATGGTCCTGTTTAAATCCAGGAGCAACATCAGCCAAGGCACTCTGACAAATCTCCAAATGCCTCTGAGGTACGCAGTCCTACTTACCTCACTGGGCTCGTGCTGACATAAAATACATATGAAACCACTTTGCAGACCACCAAGAGTAGTGCGGGAATACTTGCGTGGCATTCTTATTACAAGACTGTCCATCTTCCCGCTCCCCCAGTAAATGCTTCCATAGGCTTTTTTTGGACTCGTAGGTGAATTTTAAAAACACTTTTTCTTCCTTTGTTCTCAGTCTGTGGCTGAAGCCCTCCTTTCTCCTCAGCTTACTGCTTTGGTGTGCTGTTGGCTTAGAAGCCAAATGATCAAGCTTGTTAACAACAGTACGGTAAGTAAGAATAATTTTACTAAATGACCACATGAAGTACTCTTTTGAAGCAATGCCCATGGACCTGAAACATCTCTTTGAATAAATAGAGACTTGATTTTGTTACTGCTGTTTGTTCTCAGCTCTGCTCTTGACAGGTGAGATGACGTACATCTGGTGTTTCCACCTCTCCTGCCTCATTACTGGCTGCCCAATGTAGGCACCCACCTCAGAGAAGTAAGTCCTCCTGTCTGCTCTTCCACAACCCAGCCTCAAGCCCAATGACTTGAAACTCTCTAGCGTAATAGTTCAACATTTGGACTATGCATCAGGGTAGGAAACCTATTTCTTACATTTGAATTAACTTTCAAATAAAATATGTGCCTTGACTGTGTCTCCAGTTTTTCTGTCTTGAAACAGAAAGTTTCGACACGCCTTGTAACAATGGCAGTGAAAACAATCACCACATATTGACTGCTTATCATGTGCCAGGCTCAGTGTTAGCACCATATGTTCATGATCTTTTTATGAAACTTTACCTCATCAGAAAGCTTTTTCATTGTGTTTGTAAACATAAAGGGATGCGTTTTGAAGCATATGATCGTAAGACATGACTGTTCTATTCAGGAATTATTCCCCAAACTTCTTGAACAGTTTCATTGGTCTTTGAACTCTTTCTCCTTTAGTTATTCTCAAGCATTTTCCCCTGACTCCCTCTCCTCTCAACTCTCTTCTGGTTTCCTCTCCCGTCATTCTCCTGGGACAAGAGGTGATGGGGCAGCATGACTCATGGGAGCTCAAGGTTAGAAGAGAAGAATTTCACTTTTAGACTGACGTGGAGGAATTTAGAGAAGCCTCATTGTTTCTAAGCAAAGGGTTCAGTGTGCAATATGTTTATGTAGGTACATTTTTTTCCAAAATGAGAGATTCCCTAAGAGAGGCATGTTATTTTTAGTCAAAACATTTCTATCAGCCGTAAGTTGTGCTTGGGACTCAAGCTGGTCTTTGCCATCCTCATGATTTCAGTATGCTTTCTAGAGGTGATGATAGGCTGTCCAACTTATCTTTTAAAACATGTCCACCAGTCACCTTTAGTAGGCAGCATGCCTTCTTAAGTTCCAGAGGGTATTCTGGCTGGTAGGAAGTTGAAACTGTATGTTAAAATGCCCTTGTTGTTTGGAACCTTCACCTTCTTCTAGTGTGTTTTCCTCTGGGCAAGATCACTGAAGGCTTTTTGCTTTCATACCTTTTGGGCTATAAATTGATCCTTCCCAGTAGTCATGTTTCCCTCCATAGCACAGACATGTATGCTGTTTGTAGGCATGTAGTACTGGTCCAGCTTTTAATGATCTGTGTGACTCTGAGCTTTCTAAGCCTCCCTGGATTCATTCTCCTTCTGTGTGAGGAGCTGCACCAAGCACTTGCCATGGCCCTTTGCAGACTTAGGGGCCTTCTGCCCACCATGGCCCACAGCCCCTGAGGATTGAGTCCAGGCCTTGTCAGCGCAGGACCTGAGGGCAACCTGCTCAAATCGCTCAATGCAGTGGCAGCCCCACATTTTTAATAGGGCAAAATATCCTGTTCCCTCTCCTGTCACAGAACAATGGTATGATAGTTAATGAGGAAATATGTCTGTAAAGTACTTGGGAGCTCCTTAAAGGAAAGTGCTCTCCATAATTATTAAGGTGCTGTGTTGGGGAGTATAGGCATTTCAGGAACTGCCTTACTCAGTGGGGTGCATATCCACATTATTCAGGTGTCTGCAACTTTCATTTCTATGTGTATGGATTTGAAATAATATCACTCAGTAGAAATGTTAATATTTTTCTTTCCCATTACTGCCAGCATATTATTTATAGGGATCCCAAAAGGCTTTCAACATCATATATGACGTGGATGTGGCCTGCTGGTTGTTGCATCCAATGTGGAGAAATGAAGAGGATAGATGAGTGGCAGCAGATGGCTTTTCAGGTCTGAGCTATGGCCGGGAATGGCAAGTCTGATTTGCTAGAAAGAGATATGAAATAGAAAGCAGACACAAGACTTGTAGCATGAGGGGGAGCATCATATAAGCCCCTCTTCACTTTAAAATGATCCATTTTTAGGACTCTACAGGGGCAGGAGTTAGATACGAACCCCATTTCCTTGGCTGAGTGGCTTGGGCATGTTACTTAACCCCTCTAAGCCTCAGTTTCCTTATTTGTTACTGAAGAGTAACACAGGAAGAACCTGCCTTGTGAAGGTATTTTGAAAATTGAAGAGATAAAAGCACTTAACACAGAGTATGGGATCATTTTAAGAGAAAAATCCTTCTGTTCCCTTAGGCACAAAGGAACTGATGATAAATGAAACCAACTGAGAAATAACTTGCATGGCTTGAGGAAGCCAACTCAGGGTCAATGAAAACTGTTTTGGATAATCAATAAGCAAGTGATTATATCACAGCTGTATACTTTAGAGTTAAGGCTATAGTCTGCTCTCAGTTACATATGTTAATGGGAAGAAGTCATACCATGAATAAACAGTCAGCAAACAGCATAGACAGAGGATTTCTTAGCAAGCTGCAACTGAGCTCCTAAGGCCGAGAAGACAGCCCTGGGAGACACCAGAGGGAGGCAGTGCCTTTCACAGTTCTGAGGGTGGGAGGGGGTAGTGAATGTGTGTGCTTTGCTCCATGTTTTGATGCCTGCTCTCTGAAGAGAGGCTTGTAAACCCCTCCCGGGGGACTATCGCAGACACTTACTCTACCATGACAGTAAGCATCTCTCTAGGTGAGGAACAAAAAGAGGAGGGGAGAGCTGCTCAGTCGGTAGATGCAGAGGGTCTGCCTGAAGTTCAAAAGATCCCCTGATGGGCTGAGACACCCTGATTCTGAATAGTGTCCTCTGTCTTGGGGGTTCAGCAGGAACCTGTTTATTCTGCTGATTCTCATTCTGACCAGCCTCCCCCCTGGGCTGCAGGAAGGACAGCGAGCGCTGTTGCCAACATGTGGCCACCGCTGGGAAGTACCGCTCCTGGCCGTGTCTCTTGTTCCCGCGGCCCCTCCTCCTTCACCTGCTCTGGCACAACACCTCCTCGCCAGGTGAGTCGAGTGAGAGGCCAGGGACCAGCACTGGGTGCCTGGTGAGAGGGAGGAGAGACGAATATGGGTAGAGGAAGGTGGCTCTGTGTGCAGAAAGCAGAATGGGCCCCTGAATGGAGAAAAGCAAGACTGGAACAGAAAATGGGAAAGGTACAGTGACCACAGTGGCACATGATCAGACACGATTATGCAGGGCTTCCTCTGGTTGAAGAGCTTGCTCTCCACCACAGGAGTCTAGTTGGAGGAAGGCCTGCACATCTGAGATATGTTTGGTGTGCCTGCCTTTCAACCTTCCTCTGCAGTTCCAGGTGTTATCCTGATAGGCTGGGCCGTGAGGCTGTCTAGCGGGGGCTGTCCACTCACAAAACACCTGTGGCTTCAGTGATGACTGAAACACTTCAGTGTTAAGCAGATTTTGAAGATCTCAGGGAACTTCATCCGTGTTACTTGACTTTTTTTTTTTATGACTTTATGAGTGGGATAGATGGTAACACCCCCAGAAGATGGTATTTCCATTAGGGAGGTACAATAACATCCCTAAGGGTATGCAACAAGTAGTAATTGCTGAGAATATGATACCAGCTCAGCCAGATTATCACCTCCTTCCATTAACAATGTCCTCCCCCCCAGGATTATGCTGTGAAATGTATATGCTGCTATAACATACAACATATATGTTCCAAAATGGCCTTGATAATTTTACAGTAACTTCATTTACAGTTAAGTGCTTTCACATAAATTGAGTCTCAAAGCAACCATATAAACTAAGTACTATTAAGATCTATATTTTATATAGCAACAAACTGAGGCTCAGATTGAT